GAATGGGAAAGCTTTTACCCAATGTTTCAGTCTTGCGTCATTTATTTCTGTAGTTGGTTTTATTTTGTCAAGGAACATGTTTTTCAATACTAACATTTCATTTGGTACTGTCCATTTGAGTTTTCTTAAATATTCATCCCTTCTCGGTTCATTGTCTGCAAAGTAAGTTTTTATGACATTTTGCAAACTTTCGTTTGCAAGGTCATGTACAATAGGTTCTCTTCCTTCTCTCTCCCTAACTTTCTTTCTAAACTCTTCACCAAATATACCATCTCTATGGTTCTGTGTAGTTCTTTGAGATAAATGTTCTAGAACGTCAGGTGTTATATTTCCATCAGCCATGTTCATTTCATACTGGTCCAAAATATCTGCATTTCATATCTTTCAATGGCATTAAAGCCGCGCTGAAAATACCAGCTATATCTGGTTCACCATTCACTTCCATTGCGTCTACAACTTCTTGGAATTGTGGTTGTAAGTTTATGAACCACCTATCCGGATTAGCTTTATGACCCCATCTCATTGTAGTTCCATAGTCTGCAGAAACAAAAGTAGGTTTGTTTCCATATTGGTTAGGTTCTGAATGAACTTTAAACAATGTTTCATTTCTATATGTTTTTTGAAATTTAACCTTTTATTTTCACCGAGTTCAGCCAAAGATTGAACGTTATATGGTCGTAAGTAAAAAGGATTATTGTATTTGCGTACATTTTCTTTCAGTACTTCCATTCTATGCTGAATATTTTCATCTGATGTTGGAGTCTTTTGTATGTCGGCGAACATTTTTCGATATTCTTCTACTATGTCAGCCGAATTTTTCTTAGACTCTTGGAAAGATTCCATATTCACCTCATACTCTTGTTGAGGGTCAAGATTTTTCGGCTGTTCCAAATCTTCATCTAGTTCTGTGAAGTTAGTTTCCAAAGGAGGGACTTGTTCGTTTCCTTCAGGCTCTTCTAGCTGTTGTTGCTGAACTATTTCTTCCATGTCTGGTTGTATCTGAACTTCTTCCTGTTGAGTTTCTTGTACCTCATCTGCTGGCATTTCATATATTCCGAGACCGTTTTTAACAAGTTCCCTATCTAAGTCATCCGACTCATAACCTTTCTTCTTTCGTTCCGTCTCTATTTTTTACGCGTTTCATGAAGAGAGTTGAATTATCATTTAGCTCTGACACCAAATATCTCGGAGTAAATTCATTCATGTCATTTGGATGATATGCTATTAAATCATATCCCTTAGCGAGCTTGTATTTTCCAGGTTTGAGATTATATCCCATTTGGTGCTGAACCATAAAGCTAAATAGGTTCGGGTCAGTATTTCCTTCCTTGAACTTTCTAATAGCTTCTTTATATCTGTCACTAAAGTCAAGAGTATCTGGGTAACCATAATCTTCCTTAAGCATTTTTAAGAATTCTTGGTTTCCTTGTTCTCTACTTCTTTTATGTCCTTGCTCTGTTTGTGGTTGTTGTTGTGCAGGTTTTGAACTGTTGGTTGTTGTGTGTTTTGAACTGTTGGTTGTGGTGCTGGATTTTGAACTGTTGGTTGTTGTTGTTGTTTTGGTGCATGCCTGTGTCTGTGTCCATGTGACGATGTAAATGTTTTAGGTAGTCCTGGTGCAGGTGCTTCTCTTGGAGGGTTTGGTGGTATATAAGTTCCACCAGCTGGCACATATGTTCCATCTGCAGCATAATGTCCTACCTGACTTTTCGTTTTTAAGAAAGCATTTACTAGGTCTGTTTTGGTCTGTTGTAACTCTTTTTCTTGACTTTCCACAACAGTTGCTCTAACGGCGTCATAGGCACTTTGAACTGCCTGTCTCGTTGCTGCATCTGTTATTTTCGTCATATTTTGTGCTACTTCTCTTAACTCTTTGTCGAAACCTTCAGACTTCAGTTTCTTTCCAGATGAGAAGTCGTTCACTAGTTTCACCTTACTATGAAGAGCTTCGAAGGCATTCTTAAAGTCAGCATTCATTAAAGCTTCATTTGAACTGTCTTCATCCGCTTGTATTTTTGTCCTTATTGACCCTATAAGTTGGGCTGCTTTAGCGTTGGCTTGGGCATCTAACCAGTCATTATTAGCTTTTATATATTCTGCGCTTTTCATTGCCTTTTGCATGGCTGCGTCGTTATTTTTACTTTCTTGTGCTAAGTTTTCATACTGTACGGTTTGGTTTTGCAACTGTAAAAGTTTTTCTGCCTTTACATTTGCTTCAACTTCTTTTTTATACTCATCGCTATCCATATATGTCTTCAGGGCTTTTTGTTTTATTCTTCATCTTTCAGTACTTTATATTGAGTAGTATGGTTTTTCAAATTTATAACATCTTGTTCCATTTTTGCTACTTCTGCTGCTTTTTCTGACACTTTTTTCGCATATTCCTCTGTACTTAGTTCTTTCAGTTGTTCTTCTTTCTTCTTTTTCTCTACGTTTAACTCATTGAGTTTCTTTGTGTGTCTGTCATATTCTAGTTTCTTTTCGTTTTCACTTATTTGTTTCTGTATGTCTATGTTTGACTTTTTGACATCTGTTATTTGATTTTTGAGTGAACTCAAATTCATTTGACTTTGAGGGTTATAAGCTGTTCCGTCTGCAGCTCCACCATAGCCTGCCATTTTCGCTAAAAGTGCCGCTCTTAAACCTCCACTCTGTGCACCAATAACTCGGTTTAAAAGCATAGGGTTGCTTGACATTTGTTGCAACATAGTGGGGTCATTCATCATTTGTTGTTGCAACTGTTGTTGTGGTGTCAGTTTTACTATTGGATGTTTCAATGCTCCCTTCCTCTTACGTATATTCTTACGTAGCTTACGTGGCATTTTAAGTGAAGTTAAAAAGCGGTTTTTGACAGATGTTTATATGACACTTTTTGTTCAGCACAAAAAACTACTCGGTCAAAGTGTTGTCAGTTTTGTAAAATAACCGTCCTATCTCATTCTATAAGGGGAAAAGGCTTCTCAAAGTATACTTCCTTGGAACGCCTGTAACTTTTCCTGTAGCGACGATAGACCCTTACTTGTCCGGACAAAGTTATACTATTTTGAGTGCTCTACAAAAAAGTCAACGGCGACGACTCTCAAAAACCGTTGTGTAAAAAGTTTTACCGTTGGACAAAAAAGTATATATAGAAAACAAAAAACGTTTATAGTTCATTCAATATTTGAGATGGAACGGTTTGCCAACGGTAACTATTAAATAAAATAAAAAAATAGAGGGGGTTACCGTTGACGAAAACGGTTTATTTTAAACTTTTCTATGAGTGGTCCGAAAAAAACAGTTCATTTTTCATAATGGAAGGAAGAAAAAATGTCGCAAACAATTCGTCGACTACCTCTGCAGTTAAAGTTCCTACAACTTATGTCTCACCATTCTCAAAACCCTTACGACCTCCTATAATACCAAAGCAACTTCCTCATACAATTCAAGACAAATTGTTGGACAATATGCATTTGCACAAAGAAACAGCTCAGCCAACAGGTCAGGCAACAACAACTATCGGAACAGAAGCATTTTCAGAAGAAGTTCATACCAATCAGACTCCAATCGAACATACAGAAACACAACCACCCGAAAATACAGAAACACATCCAATCGAACATACAGAAACACATTCTGCAATGACCACTAGGTCGCAAACACGATATCTCGCCTTTAGCAAACAATTTAAGTCTCAAATTCAAGACACACAAGATAGCGACACTCCTCTTTCAGAGAAAGTTCGTAGAAAATACGCAAAGAAAAGGTTAGAATTGTTAGATAAGTTAAATGAACAGTGGGGTTCAGAAGACAATCGAGATTATAACGAGATGTTTCAAGCTGTCATGGATGCCATTCAGCCTCTTGAAAACGAAATCAAAGACCCTGGCGTACTTGTTGACATGTTTGCTTCATATTTACCCGTTACTGCCAATCTCATAGCGTTGCAAGCTATTGACCAGTTCATTCACTTGTTTCCAAAGAACTTGCAGAAGCATTTACAAGAAGTTAAAATTGCTGAATTTGTCCGTTTATATCCAAATTCATACAATTATTTGGAAGAATTGAATGAACATGGTGAAAGGTCATTCTATTTATATTTCTACACAAAAGACAACCAGTCAAAACGACTATACTGCATTGAACCTATGCCTCAATTCTTAGACAATTTCCACGTTATAACAACTGTTGCTTTAGATATTCCTGCCAGAGTTCCATATGGAGGAACAGTAACTATCTCAAGCTTTCCCAAGGGCTATAAAGGAAAGCCTCTCACAATTGCAAAATTCACACACAGCAGTTGCCAATTTGTTCAAGATGTCGAGTTCCATTTCCTCAACAATACGACTTTCATCATAGAGACTCCTCAAGAAGGTATATACAAAGTTTTCATCGCAGGATTTGTTGCTCCCAATGGCGAAGAAGAAGTCGAAGAAATCCTCACCTCAGAGAGCGAAGAAGAAGAAGTCGAAGAAATCCTCACCTCAGAGAGCGAAGAAGAAGAAAATTTCCAAGACATTCAAGATTCAGAATATACCGAATAAAAAAATAATTTAAGACTAAAAATTTAATTTTATTATAATATTTTTATTTTTTTCATCTGGTCTTTGTATCATTCCTCCTCTAGTTTCTCCGGGGCTAGAGGGCGCAACGCGCCTGGAAGCCCCACTCACCTGACCTGAATTTTAATTCCACTTCTGATGATTAAGCATTTTAATACTAGATGATTTTTCCAAATTTTTTTCGAATTTCGTTTTATCGTTTAAAAAACTTCAATTTTTTATATCAAAATTTGAAAATTACAGAAATTTTGGAAGATTTCCAAAAATTTAAATCGATAGAATTATTCATTTATTGATGTTAATTTGATTAAGCAGGTTTTGTCGAATTCTTTCGACTGACCCATCAAGATAACTCAGATTTAAAGTGATATATATAATCTACTCTAGCTATTAATAATATTTTTTAAATCAACTGATAATTATATTGTAGCCTATTCAATTTTTAAAATCATTTTTTCAATGAGCGAATTGAATCTAGATAAAATCCTTCAGCAAATACGTCAAGGCGAAAACTTGGAAGAAGGCGTCTTTGTATCTCTTCTCATGAAGTTGATGGAAGTTCTCTATTGTGAAAGCAATTTGATTGAGCTAACTTCGCCAATTACAATTTGCGGTGATGTTCATGGCCAGCTTTATGACGTTTTTGAACTCTTCAAAGCTGGTGGAGATCCTGCAACCACAAAATATTTATTTATGGGTGATTATGTTGATCGTGGTTACTATTCTTGTTTAACGTTCGCATATTTAGCAGCTCTCAAACTCAAATACCCAGGAAATGTATACTTACTTAGAGGAAATCATGAATGCCGTCAGGTTAATCAAATGTATGGTTTTTATGCTGAATGCACCTTATTATACGGTCATAGCGGAGTTTGGTCACTATGCAATGAAGTTTTCGATTTACTACCTTACTGCGCATTAATTGATGGAGAAATATTTTCAACTCATGGAGGTCTTTCTCCCGAAATACCATTAATCGATAAAATCAATTCTATTAACAGAGTTGAAGACGTCCCAAGTACAGGGCCATTTGCTGACCTTACATGGAGTGATCCTGATGATACAACATGGTCTCCAAATCCTAGAGGTGCTGGCCATTGCTTTGGCGAGCAACCAACAAGAGAATTTTGCCATCTAAATGGATTACGCTTCGTTACAAGATCTCATCAACTTGTTATGCAAGGTTATGAATGGTACTTTAATAATCTTCTCGTAAATATCTGGTCAGCCCCGAACTACATGTACCGTAGTGGAAATAAGGCGAGCGTCATGAAATATGCAGGAAAAGGAGAGAATGAACTTGTCATTTTTAATCCTTGCCCTGCTTCAGAAAGAAAGATACCAGCAGAACTCCCAACCTCAGGATACTTCATATAATTGTTGTATATATTTAGTAAAAATTATGCTTTTATTTCATATCTTTTTTAATTCTTTGCAATAAATCGAAATTAGAGCAAGAAAGATTCATGTCTCAGCATGCATTGAAGCTGGTAATTGTCTTTTCCTGGAAAATAAGTCTCAATACCTTATTATTTGCCTTAGAAAAATAAAAAAGTGGGCAAACCGTGAATCGAACACGGATCTATTGAGCCACAATCAACAATACTAACCATTATACCATTTGCCCCTTACATTTACCCCCTAAAAATTTAAATCCAAGATACATAAAATGCACTTTCCATTCTCAACAACTCGAAATCTCGACTTTCTGACTGTCAACCAGACTTCCAAACAAGCTTATTGCATTTATTTATAGTTTAGATATCAACTATCGTAATTATGAGATTTTTCGATGATAGATTTTAGATACGTTAGAAATCAAAACGAGGCGTGATTGGGCCGATGATACCCATAACGTCTGCGCTAACATCGTGAATACTGTTTACTCAATCATAGAGAATGTGGTAAGCAATAGAATGACATGGGAAATCACAGGTTCTACGTCAGATTGCGATATATTTTGGATGGACACAAACGTAAACGTAGAGTTTTGCTCAAAAATGAAGCCATATCAATTTGTAAATCATTTCCCTGGAACAGGTTGCATATCTAGAAAGGTTAATCTCAGCAAAAACTTTTTCGCAATGCAAAAACTATTTCCTGAACAATATAACTTCCATCCCAAATCATTTACAGTCCCAGCTGAAAGAAGTACACTGAAAAACTATATGGAATCGATGCCTGCTGATCATCGTACATTTATTATCAAGCCAGACCTTGGATCTCAAGGAAAAGGCATCTATCTTATACAGGATCCCAATGAGGCTCTTGAATGCAAGAAGCTTGCTATTGCGCAACAACTAATCGACCCATATCTTATTGATGGATTAAAGTTTGATCTAAGAGTCTATGCACTCGTTTCATCAATTAATCCACTTCGTGTTTATGTCTACAAAGAAGGCTTAGCTCGCTTTTGCACAGAAGAATATGAAAAACCTACTTCTAAGAATATGAACCAATCATACAAATTCCTTACAAATTACAGCTTGAACAAACATAATAAGAAGTTCGAGCAGTTTCATGATGGAAAAGGTCATAAAAGATCAATTTCATGCGTTTTCAAGCAGTTGCTTGAAAATGGCGTGGATATTGATAAACTTTGGGAGGAAATCCACAGAATCATTGTACTGACTGTCATTATTGGACAACCAATCATAGCACATAATTATAAATCTTCAATCAAGGCTCAAGATGGCAAATCTAGATGTTTTGAGATATTAGGCTTCGACATACTAATTGACAGTAACTTGAAACCATGGGTTCTTGAAGTAAATCACTCTCCTAGCTTTTCGACAGAATCAGACTTCGACTACCATGTTAAGATGGATTTAATTAGCGAAGCACTGAAAATCCTAGATATTAACCATATTATGAGATCCAGAATCATCAATATTGATAAGCAAAGAACATATCAAAGAATTAATGGAACAAGACAAACTGACATCCCTCAGTTATTCAATCCTACATTAGAGTCAAGAATAGCTTCATCAACAGGCTGGAAGCTAGTTTATCCAGCAGCAAATGCAGCTGAATTTGATAAGATTTTAAATCGAATTGAAGATCTTCCTAAATACGGCATTGAAGAAACACATGCATTCGTATGCCGAAAGAAAGCTTCTCAGACACAAATTGATGAAATGGAGAGAAAAGCACTCGAAGCAAAAAGAGAACCGAAACCATTCGTTACATCTTTTGGCCAATACTCGATTTTATCTCCAAAATCACATCATTTGTTTGTTGCTCCTAAAGTTAGACCTCAAACTGATACAAGAAGACAACCTGCAAGATTAATTCGTTTAAAAACGTAAATCATGCAGACTTACATGATAAGTACCCGTAAGCTCTGCACTAACTCTCATTATATTCATGTTCTTTGTTTGATATTAATAAATGTTTGGAATGATTTTTCTTTTTCTCTTTCAAAGAGTAAATTATTCTTATGTGCTATTATTTCCTACACAACAAGGGACTTGAATTCGGTTATACAAGCAAAATATTTCCAATCAAATGTAAACGATATATCACCATAGACAAGACCATGCATTTTCCCCATAAATTAAATTGTGAAACGCATTGTAACGAATTCTCAAAGTTATCAAACGAAAATAATCAGTATGATAAAATTCGGAAAAAAAGTGCTTTGGCGTCGCGTCGCGTCGCGATGTAAATTATTCAATTTTGAGAAGTTTACACTATTTTTTCAAAGCTTTATTGCGTCGCAAGGCCAAAATTGAATAGGCCCTTGTCGCCAATGTAAAGTTTATTTTTGCCAAGGTTTACGTGGCAATTGAATAAAAAATTGTGTTTTTAATTTGTTTTTTAATTAAGGATTGAAATACGTTATCAGTGCCTCACAGCCTTTGGTTTCTTACCAAAAACGAGAAAACTTGCTCGACATTCTTTCGCATTTCGAGCAAGTTTTCTCGTTTTTGGTAAGGACTTGCTCCTTATGAGGTATATAGTAAGAATATATACCTCATAATGAGCAAGTCCCACTGGAAAGCTGGGAAACTTTCTTCGAATAACTTATCATTTGAAGAAAGTTTCCCAGCTTTCTACAAGAAACTAAAGGCTGTGAGGCACAAATGCATTATCAGTGCCTCACAGCCTTTGGTTTCTTACCAAAAACGAGAAAACTTGCTCGAAATGCGAAAGAATGTCGAGCAAAATTTCTCGTTTTTGGTAAGAACTTGCTCCTTATGAAGAAAATTTCCCCGCTTTCTTCATGAAACTATATTTATAGCTTAATGATATGATGGAAAAATAATAAAGATTTAATTATATGTCAAAAATAAACTTTACATTGGCGACAACGGCCTATTCAATTTTGGCCTTGCGACGCCATAAACCTTTGAAAAAATGGTGTAAACCTCTCAAAATCGAATAGTTTACATCGCGACGCCACGCGACGCCAAAACGTAAGCGACCCTAAAATTCACTCAAATTGTTAATGGAGAATTTACCGGAAATTTTGAATTTTGAAACAGTTACATCTGCTCATGTTAATTATCCAGACCAAATTTAACCAATGACACTTTTGCCAAACAGATTTGAAATTGAAAACGGCCAAATATAACATTAAAGAGCAGAAACACAATAAATAGATTGCCATCATGTAACCTCAGATGGATATCCAATTAATTCGGATTCTTCCTTTACGACCAATTTCGATTTCAATTTTTATTTGTAAATGAACTATGAACATTTGAAGAATTACCCATTATACGATCAATAGTAACATTTCAACAGCAAATGAGGTTGATTGTAAGAATAAACGTACGCACATAAATCCAGAAATAGTAAACGTGCACTTATCAAAACTATTGAGTAAAACCGCTAAATACGTTTTTAATCACTACTTTTCATGGTTCGTGAAATCGTTCACATCCAGGCTGGACAGTGCGGCAACCAGATCGGTGCTAAGTTCTGGGAAGTCATCTCCGATGAACACGGCATTGACCCAACAGGCTCATACCACGGCGACTCCGATCTTCAGCTCGAGCGCATCAACGTTTACTACAACGAAGCCACAGGCGGCAAGTACGTTCCACGTGCTATCCTTGTCGACCTTGAACCAGGCACAATGGACTCCGTCCGTGCCGGCCAGTTCGGTCAGCTTTTCCGCCCAGATAACTTCGTCTTCGGCCAGTCCGGTGCTGGTAACAACTGGGCTAAGGGCTACTACACAGAAGGCCAGGAACTTTGCGAATCCATCCTCGATGTCATCCGTAAGGAAGCTGAATCCTGCGACTGCCTTCAGGGCTTCCAGCTCGTCCACTCCCTCGGTGGTGGCACAGGCGCTGGTCTCGGCACACTCCTTCTCAACAAGCTCCGTGAAGAGTACCCAGATCGTATCCTCTCCACATACTCCATCGTCCCATCTCCAAAGGTTTCTGATACAGTCGTCGAACCATACAACTGCACACTCTCCGTCCACCAGCTCGTCGAGTCTGCTGATGAAGTTTTCTGCATTGATAACGAAGCTCTTTACGATATCTGCTTCCGTACACTCAAGCTCACAACACCAACATACGGCGATCTTAACCACCTTGTTTCCATGGTTATGTCCGGCACAACATGCGCTCTCCGCTTCCCAGGTCAGCTCAACTCCGACCTTCGTAAGCTCGCTGTCAACCTTGTTCCATTCCCACGTCTCCACTTCTTCATCGTTGGCTTCGCTCCACTCACATCCCGTGGCTCCCAGCAGTACCGCGCTCTTACAGTCCCAGAGCTCACATCCCAGCTCTTCGATAACAAGAACATGATGGCTGCTTGCGATCCACGCCGTGGTGTCTACCTTACAGCCTCCGCTCACTTCCGTGGCCGTATGTCATCTAAGGAAGTCGATGAGCAGATGCTTAACATCCAGGCTCGTAACACATCCTACTTCGTCGAGTGGATCCCATCCAACGTCAAGTCAGCTATCTGCGATATCCCACCACGTGGTCTTAAGATGGCTGCTACATTCATCGGCAACACAACAGCCTTCCGTGAACTCTTCACTCGTGTCGACTCCCAGTTCCAGAAGATGTACGCTCGCCGTGCTTTCATCCACTGGTACGTCAACGAAGGCCTCGAAACAGTCGAATTCGATGAAGCTCGCTCCAACATGACAGATCTCATCCAGGAGTACGAAATGTACGAAACAGCCGGCGTCGAAGAACAGGGCGAAGGCGAAGAAGACGAGGAAGGTGAAGCCGCCGCTTAAGCGATTTTATATTCTGACTATAAAACATGATTTGAGTTTTGTCTTTAATCATTTCAAATTTTTACATTTTTTTCATTGTACAAATAGATTTGATAAAAAGTTTCAATTATTTTAGACAGAAATTTACAACAAGAAAGTCCATTTGAAGCGAATCTTTATTAAAAGAGCGCATTAAATTAATGCCAAAATCATTTGAGAAGTAGATATAATATTCCCTAACATACAAATTAATGATAGATTGAACAATGAAAGCTCATGTCTGTGTGATTTTTTGAAATACAATCTGAAATTTTTCAAATATAGAAAATTTTTACAAACAAACAAATAATATTGAGTTACATGGTAAAGGTAGTAAGTTTTCTGGTAGCTGTTCTATAACTTTGGTAATATTTTTAGGGAAGAATTTGAAGTTAAACTTCCACGAATTCTTGGAGACTTGCCGACAGGAACTGAAGGCAAAGCGCCAAATCTTGCATTATATTCATTCTCTTGAATAACGATTTTCGTTTTAAATTCCTGGTGATCTTTCATCAAAGTCATTAAATTCTGTGTTACTTGGTTGAGAGTGGTATTAAGTTTATCAATAAGTGAAATATCCTCTTGTCTTGACTCTCTGGATTCAAATTTCATCTTAGCAGCGTTCAAATCTTTTTCTGCAATATCTGTCTCACATTGTAAGAGGTGTTTCTTTGTTTCGGCTTGGCTTCTCATTATGTTAACTTCATCTTTATATCTTTTTTCAATTTCAGCTAATTTTTGAGAATAATCTTGATTATTAACTTTTGTATGTGTTAAATTGATGATATTGTGCTTCTTCTGAAGTATCTTATCTTTAAGAGATTGCAATTCATCGTTTTTAGATCCATTTCTTTCATTTTTATAAACTTCCATCTCATTATTAATTTTTTCGATCTTAGAGCGATGTTCTGCTTGGAGTTTCTGTACAGAAAGCATGTAGTTATTTAATTCCTTGGTTTGCTCCAATAAAATATCTTCTGATCTTTGACTAAATTGATAATTCAAATTTGAAATGTCTTTTTGCATTTTACCAATGGATATATCTTTATCATCAATCGCATTCTTAATTATTCTCTCATTTTCTAACTTTGCTTTTGCAAATTCTTCTTTTGGATTAAATTCTTGAATTTGAGAAGTTGGTGATGACAATTTAAGCGAATTTAGCTTATCTTCTAAGCTGTTGATCTTAGTATCGAGATTTTCTAGTATTTTTGAGTTATCTAACTTCATTCTCATTAAATTCGTATCCATAGCCATAATTTGTCCTTTAATGGAATCAATAGATAGTTTGCTTCGCATTCCTTCATCAAATATCATCTTCTCCCAATCTTCTGTGATTTGATCTTTATCTAATTTTATATTTGACTTAAACTGCTCAATTTGACTAGAAATCTCGTTCACTTCATCTTCATTACCTTGAACATTAACTGGAGATATTTGGATTGATCTTAATTCGGTTTGAAGGTCATTAAAAATTTGTTGATATTTCTGCTTTTCTTGGAGGATCTCTACTTGGAAAGAATTCTTTTCTTCATCTAGTTTAAGCTTATTCTTCATTTCCAATTCATTTTTGTATTCAATTAATTTTGAATTCAAATTATTTTGAGTTTCTTGAAGCAAATTCTTTTGCTGAACAGTTCTCGATTGATATTCATTATCAAAAAGTTTAATTGCGTTCTTCTCTTCTTCAGTCAGTTTTAATAATATTTTTTCAACGAAATCATCAGAAGGAACAGACTTAGACTTCATCATTTCCTTCTTTTCTATCAAGTCAAGATATATTTTGAGGTTTTGCTGATAAATTTCTACTTCATCTTTGTTATTTTTTGTTTTTGAGTTGAAAATTTGTTCAAAATCATGTTTTGACTGTTCTGTTTCATTAGAATTGGCCAGTCTTAGATTAGAAAACTCTTTCATGATATTGTCCTCTTCCTGATCAAAGATTTCGTTCATTCTGGTCATTTTTTCATTTGATAATTCAAGAAAATAAATTCTGTTTTTCTTTTCATTCTCAAGACGTGCAATTTCGTTTTCCATTTCTTCATTACATTGCTTCTGCAAGCGATTCGGTTCTTCAATTATTTGTTGAGAAATATCTTTTGGAATTAAATTTTGAAATTGAAGATTTAGTTCTTCAATTTCTGCTTTTATTTTATCCCTTAAACGATCAAGAATGATTTTATTTGTTTCTTTCTTTACTTCAAATGTTTGCATCAAAGTTTTTTCATCTTGCTTTAATTGAGCTAAAACATTATCGTATTCTATCTTTTTCTTGTTAACTCTTTGTTTTTCGAAGTTCTCTGCTTCAATTAATGAATTCTGAACTTCTTTTAACTTTTCTTTCCATTCCTTTTGAGTTTCTTTGTATGAATTCATAACAGACTGAACACTTTTCGTTAGATTTTCAACAATCTCTTGGAATTCATAGAACTTTCCGTAGAATTCTGTCCTTATATTTTCAAAATTTGACATTACTTGACTAAAATCAGTATAATTACTTCTCTGGAGTTCTAAAACAGCCTTTTCATTCTCTTCTTCGAGCCTTCTTTGAGTTTGATACCAATCATTTTCCAATTTATCAATTTTTTGAGATAAATCCGTATTTATTTGCTTAATTTGGGATACATACCATTCATTTTCAACTTGCTTTCTGACATCAATGTATTGAGCTGGTGTTGACGGTGAAAATGTTCGAATTTTTTGTGTTAAATTGAAATTTATATCTTCTATTGTCTGTAGTAATGCCATCAAATCATTATTGAATGATTTGCTAAACTTTTGATATTCATGAGATGAAAATGGGTTATTTAAAGGCTTGAGTTTATAAATTTTCTTTAATTCTTGTTCATATTCGCTTTTAATACTGGACTCAATCATTTGCCGTTCATAATTTAGACCATTTATAATCTCTGTCATCATGAACTCATAGTCTGCAAAGATATTATGAAATTCTTCATCGTAACTTTGATTAATTATCTCTTTATTTAAGTTCCTTTGCTCAGCAAGATAGTTTGCCTCAGTATATTCTTTCTCAATACTGATGAATCGCTTGATTTGCTGCTCTTTTTCTCTGTCATCCATTCAATTTTACGAAAAATTGACCCTCTACCTTATTCCTCTGCTTACAATCGATATTTAGTATTATCCATCGGTCGTGGCATATAAATTGAGGGGTACGTTTAAAAATTTTAAGTCACGTTTTTAGAAATTGAGGGAAGGGAAATATTGAAATGAGCGAAAAGGAAAACAACGCTCGTTTTGATGTTAGACCACCTCCATTTCCAGCAGACTTTCGCTCTGCAACTCCAAATTCGACTTCCGAGTCGGATTTTTTCAATCAATTAGCTGCACAAAGGTCACCTCGTCGTAAACCAAATAAATCAACATCAGTAAGACAAGTAAAACCATCACTTATTGCAACCTTACCAGAAGATTCTCGTCTATTACAGTCAGAATACAAATTAACAAGAAAAATCGATTTAAGTCTGAAACCGGAAACAATAAAACAGCTTGCTGATTCTGGTAATGCAGATGCTATGCTCGCATACGGAAATCTAATAATGGAATCGAATCCTAAAAAAGGATTAAAATATATAAAGCAAGCCGCCAACTCAAACAACGCAGAGGCTGCATGTAAATACTCAGTGATGCTAATGTCACACATTGATAAGCATACAGATCTATCAGAAGCAATAAAATATCTTGAGAAATCAGCAATTCTTGGTGATCCTCAAGGTCAATATGAATACGGACGACTTTTGATACACGGAAAGCAAGTACCAAAAGATACACACAAAGGAGCCGAATTCATTCAGAAATCAGCTGATCAAGATTATTCGCCAGCTCAATTTCGATATTCTCGAATTCTTATGCGCAGCAATGCAAGCGAAGAAGAAATAAAAGACGGAGTACGCTATTTAAAGCTAGCGGCGCATAACAAAAATCCAGAATCAATGGTTAGATTGGCACAACTCTACGAAAAAGGAAATTACGTTAAACAGAACTACGGAAAATCTGTAAATTTGTTCAGAGAAGCGTCTGAGCTCGGAAATACAGAAGCAATGAACTGTTTCGGAACAATTTTGTTGAATGGAGAGTGTGGTGTTGATGCAAATCCAAAAGAAGCTATCAGAATCCTCGAAAAAGCAGCTGCAAAGAACAATTCGGATGCTATTTTCAACATTGGTCAATATTTAGCAACAAATGGAAATAATCTAGAAAAACAGAAAGGATTAGATTACATAAAAAGAGCAGCATCACTTGGAAATCATTATGCTCAGTACAATATCGGACTTATGTATGAAAAAGGAGAAAATTTTACGAAAGATTTGAAAGAAGCAGCAAAATACTATGAATTATCATCTAAAAAAGGTAATGTTAAGGCTATCTGCAACCTTGCCTCCATGCTGGCATCAGGAGATGGCATAGAAAAAGACGAAAAACGAGCCCTTGAATTATTCAAACAAGCAGCTGACCAAGGCCACGTAATATCCATGTACAGATACGCTAATATGCTTGAAAAAGCAGGTTCTATGGCCCTTTACCGTGGACAAATTACAGATTATTACACAATGGCAGCAAACAGAGGCCATCCACGTTCAATGCTTTGCGCAGCCAAACTAATAGAAGGAAACGACCGAAATCTTGCCAAAGAACTATACGAAAAAGCCGCAAAATCCGGAATTGACGAAGCTCTCTATCGTCTTGCCATTTTACAAAAACTTGATGGCGAAGAAACATACAAAAACACAATGAAAGAAGCAGCAGACAAAGGAGTTGTTGATGCACAAGTCCAGATCGCATTAGATACAATAAAAAACGGAACTCCAGAAGAGAAAGAAAAAGCGTTAGAAACATTCAAAAAAGCATCAGAAACAGGACATCCTGTTGCCAAGTACAATTACGGCATTGCTCTTTTAGACTCCAACAAAAGAGAAGCAGTAAGACTAATAGCGGAATCAGCTGACCAACAGTACGTACAAGCACAATACGAGTACGGAAGAATCCTCCGAAAAGAAGGCGCACATTTGAAAGCATTTAAATACCTTTCATTGGCTGCAGACGGAGGAAATGCTGATGCGCAGTATTTAGTTGCAATGATGTACGAACTGGGAGAAGGATGCCAGAGATCATCGAGAAACAGTTTCCCTTTGATAGAAAGTGCTGCAAAAGGTGGAAATGCCGATGCACAATACAGATATTCAATGATGTTGGAAGAAGGAATAAATTGTTTGAAATCTCATTCAGATTCAGTGAAATTCCTCAAATTATCAGCAGAAGGAGGAAATAAAGAGGCAATACTCAAGTACACGAAGATATTGTTATCAAAGAATAACATAGATGCCTTTAAATACGCAAAAAGAGGTCTAATGATTAAAAAACCTCAGCCAGAATTGTTGACAATTTACGCAAAATTGTTAAGAAACGGTTTCGGTTGTGAAATTAATTTAACTGAGAGTTCTCAAGTGATGAAAAGAGCTGCAGACATGGACTATGCAGAAGCTCGGTTCCTCTATGCAGATATGATATTAAACAATGAATGCCAAGGCACAGAAAGTGAAGCTGAAGAATATTTAGTCAGAAGTTCTGATTTAGGTTATAAACAGGCGAGAACAACTTTGGCAGAGTATTTCGAGATGAAAGAAGATATGTCAAAGGCAAACCACTTCTATAGATTGGCAGCAGACTCAGGAGATAGCGAGGGCTGCAGAAAATACGCAAATTATTTGTTAAATAATGATTCTAATGATGATAAAAAGAAGAGAGAAGGAGAAATCTTTTTGAGAAGAAGTTCAACAGATCACAATGTTGAAGCTGAATTCCAAGTCGCAAATCTTCCAGGAGTTGCAGGAACATTCGATGCAAAACAACTCTTGAAACAAGCAGCTTATGCAGGCCATGTTGGAGCTTTAACACAGTTATCTTATACATCAAACAACCCAATAAAACTCCTCGAATCTTCTTCTTCAAGTGGAGATGCGAAAAGTTTGTATTTACTTGGAAAACAATTTGCAAAGACACAACCAATCAGAGCTACTTCTTATCTACTTGCAGCATTAAGTAAAGGAGAATACTCTGCTTATATAACACTTTCAAGTTTAACTGATGACGAGAACTTGAAAGAAGAATATCTTAAAAAAGCTCTTGAAAATGATGTCGAAGGTTCTGAAGGAGCTTTAGGAGTTTTTTACGAAAAAACAGATAAAGAAAAAGCAATTTCTTATTATAGGAAAGGTAGTGATAAAGGAGATGCTGAGTCAATGTATAGATTGGCGATGATACTGATTGATGAAGATAAGGATAGTAAAGAAGGACATTCTTTGCTGATTAGAGCTGCAAATAAAAATCACATTGAAGCGAAAATAGAATTAGCAAAAGATATGGAGAGAATTGGAGAGAAAACAGATGCTCTAAAGCTCTACCAGAATATATTTAAACAGACCGGAAACCAAACCATTGCAAACACCATAACTGATTTGATCAAATCAATTGGAAATGTTGACAATGGAAAGGATTCACTTAGATTAATGTTCACAAAGCAACAAATTTAATAAAATGTTTGTATTTATCTTTACTTATTTAGAATTTTTCTATCATAAGATCAGAATATATGATAAATTATCAAATTTCAAAAATAATTGAATTTTATCTAATGAGTTATGATAATTTTCAGACTTAAATTATTTATATCTATAAGAAATATCAATGCTGGAATTAGAATCTCTGATATTTTAGTTAAATATAACAAAAATTTTTTGATATCTCAAAATTTTTATATTGAACATTAAAAGTTTCAAGTAAGAATAAGTAATTTAAGTAGAAATAGAAGATCTTTTATTGTAAAAAGAGAAATTGACAAAAGATTTATTTGGAATTGCTGCGTGTTGCTGATTCGAAGAAGTCGATAGCAACATTTTCGATGTAAGAGCCATGACCGTTCATTCCGTAGTTAAAGGAAACGTGGCCACCCTCTGGAGTGCTGAGATAAGCGACGAAGTTTGAGTTTACGATCAAATCCTTTGGAGCGAATTCTGGTCTTGTGAATGGATCATCATCAGAGTTGAAGATGATGAGTGGAACTCTGACTTTGTCGATCTTTGTTCTGAGATGAATCTTTTCGTAGTATTCGTGAGCGTCTTTGAGGTCAATGATCTGGGATGTGAATGCATTATCGAACTCGACGAGTGTCTTTGACTTGAGTGTGGCCTTCTTCATGTCTTCTGGGACGAATTCGTCTTTTTCAACAGCGCGCTTGAGTTGGTGCATGATGATTGGAAGGTAAAGCTTGCTCTGGACTGGCTGTTCGAGGATCTTGCAGCACTTTTCTGTTTCGAGAGGGTGAGAAACGCACATGATTGCATCAACGTCTGTGAAGTCAATACCGTACTGGACAGAGATGATAGAACCAAGGGAGAAGCCCATGAGGTAGATGTGTGGGGGATTGTATGTCTTCTTGACGTGTTCAATGATAAAGTGTAAATCGTCAGTGCGAAGAGCATCATATAAGCGCTTTGTTGTGATACGGGAACCATTGCAACCACGGCATGTTGCAACGACAGCTCTCCAGCCATGCTTTTGTGCGGCTACGCACATGTAGTTTGTGCATGGTTCTCTTGTGCCACCGCCGAGTGTATGGACAACAACAAGAACTGGAGCGTTAGCTGGTGTATCTTGATTTTCGAACCAGTCAATGTAAACAGCGCCGCCATCTTCGAAAATGAGCTCTTCACGGCGTGGTCTGACAGAAGAGCGGCCGCGATATCTCATACCCCAGATGGTCATTGCATTTCCGCCAACGAGCCATGGTGTTGGCTTGTAATTCTTCTTGATTGACTTCATTTCAGAAACAATTGAGGCAATTTTGCTGTCTGTTTTCATTGTAACAGCAACCTTGTAACTTCTTGTTAATCTCCAAACGCAGAATAAGGCAAGGAGACCTAATAAAACAAGTAAAATCGTTCCAAACATTTTTATAGTTGTCAGGTTTTCACGATCATTTTTCTTCACATTTTTACATGGTCCCTAATTTCAAAGGAGTTTCAAAAAATGTCATAAAATATTGCACAATAGATGTTATAGAATGCTTTTGATGATTATTTATTTGAAAATTGTAAAGTGAACTGTACATTCAAAAATTTCAGATAAACTGATTTTCAATTTCACAAGTTGTATGCGATAGGATTTCTTTATTATATATTATTTAAGACTTATACAAGTTATCCAAGCTGGATGTCTTGACTATAGCATCAAATCTCTGAAAAATATGGGTTTGAATTTTAATTTTAAGATTTGTGCCTCAAGAGTAATTACAAAATTCAACCTTCCTTGAACATAAATACTTTTTGATATTAATAGTATGTTAACGGGAATTGAATATATTTATTTCATAACCCTGTAGTTTGAGCATTGATACCAATATAATTATTTCATGGACCCACCACTTTGTTTGTAAATAAAAGCGATCAGTCATTAAACCTTTTATATATTGATAAAAAAATGAACTAAAATTTTAAAAAAGAGAAAAAAATGATATTTAAGTTTTTAGTCTTGGAGACCAGAAGCGAGTTCGTTTGTGAGTAAGCTGCGCTCGATTTCGTTCTGGCGCCTCCTGCGTTTGATAAGGACAACAGAAAGAGCAATTAAGCCAAACAAAGCGACGAATCCGATGATGATTCCAGCGAAAGCACCTGGATTCTGCTTGATCCATTCACCTGGAGTCAAAACTCTGACGCATTTGTTTCCTTTCTTTCTAGACTTTTCTCCACAAACGACTTCCTGGTTGTATACGTATGATGCTGGCAAATCAGTGAGAGACTTAACATTGTCAACATTCTGGAAGACGTTTCCAAGTAATTCATTTCTTACAATGATAGAACCATTAGCAGTGAAGATCAAATCGCCATCCTTGAATCCATCCTGTGGTCTGATGATTGCTGATGCATCGAGGAACTTGATTGGATCGTATCTGAATCCAGCAGCAGAAAGAGGAACAATTACAGAACCTAACATTGCTGTGATTGTTGATGTCTTGTCATTGTTAGCAGTGATAACTAACTTGAAGTCTCCTGGCTGCATGTTCTTCTGTAATCTTGTGATTGTGCCCTTCCATGTCTTGACCAATTTAGTTGCATTTCTTCCATAAACAATCTGTCTGCGAACAGAATCCTGCAACTTGAGGGAGTTCTCTGGAGCCTTGATATCAAGAACACCATCATCAGAAAGATATTCCAACAATGCCAATCCATCATCAGAGAAATCTTCTTCAAATTCACAGTATGGATGGTTCTTATCATCACACATTGCAACGAATAAAACATCTTCTCTTGACTTATCTGGATTGTAAACATACTTTCCTTCAACTTTTTCAAGTTGCATTGTTTGCTTAGATGTTTCTGCTCTGAGAGATGTGCATTTGTCGCATTGGATATAGATCTTCTTGTTTGCATTTGCGAATTCATAAGTTCTGTTTCCTGGAATGAATAATGAAGAAGCGTTTTCTGGAATGTTGAATCCACCGAATCTTGTTCTGAACTCGAAATCAGTGAATTCTGTTAAGTCATCTTTAGCACGGAATGCTTCAAGAGCCCAGTTATTTGCTTCCAATCTGAAATGCTCAAAGTAGCCATCGCTGATTCCTGTGAACAAAGGTGTCCATGAGAGATGGTTCTCTGGTGTCAATGTGTCAATGCAACCAGTGTACAATCCCTTGATAACCTTTCCTTTGATGATGTTAGAAACAGAGCAAACAGCTTTGTCTCCAGAAATGAAAACAGCAGACAAAGAAACATCGAATTCGGCTGCTTCCAATTTAGTTCTTCTGATTGGAATGTTGATGGAAAGAGCACCTGGGAAGTACTGTTGCTGCTGCTTAGTTGAGAACAATGTTTCACCAAATGTAAGTGGAATTGCGATGTATTGATCATCTAATTTAGTATGGTCACACAATGGAGTAAATCCTTGTCCTTTCATGATGACGTTGAACTGTGTGTTCTGAGCAATTTGGTCATCGCCGTGGTTGAAGAAGAACCTAAGAATACCGTATGTCTCGTTTGTCTTCATTGCGACGTGGACATTGACATCATCCTTAGTCCAGACTTGTGTTGGCTGGAATACTTTAGCGATAATGCCTTTGTAGTTTGTCTTTCCTTCTTCGTAACCTGTCTGGAACAAAATTGTTGGAATAGTGTTCTCAAAGTTCAATGCGAGTTGGAACTTGTCTGACTCGATTGACTTAGAGCGCTTGAATGTTCCATCGAAGTTGATTTCATCGCGTGTGAACTCGAAGACTTTGTCGTTGTTCATCTTGACTTGGAGAGTGAACTTCTGACCGCTGAGATCGAATGGGAATGAGAATTCCTGAGCGTTGATTTGAGCGGCAGTGACATAGACATTCTTTGGAACATCCATGGCATAGAGAGATCCAAGTGGTGAGCAATCGCTATCAACGCACTTGAAGAAATCTAATTGAACATCAGCATTTGAATCTGATCTCTTCAATCCATCAATCTTGACATTGAGATATCTTCTGACGAGGTATTCGCCGTTTCTGATATCAGATGAATCAAGTGCTGCATCATCCAATGTCTGGTACTTGTCGAGAGGAGCTTTGTATGCATCGCCATCGCCATGAGTGATAACGCCGTAGATATCGCCATTCTTTGCGTTACTTGGCTTGATGGAAATGTATGTCTTGTTTGCATCGAATTCCTTGAACTCTTCAACTGTCTGTGAATTGTTGACTTGTGTGCGGATGCAGAGTGATTCACTGTTGGAGTACTGGCCGCAGATCTCTTTGTTCATCTCGGAATCAATCTGGAATTCGTCCTGGAACTGGAATCTGTGTGCCCAGTTTGCTGTGTACTTCATGACAGTTGATTCACGTGGATTTGTGAGAACAAGAACACGGTTGAGCTGTTTCTTGGCATCTGGACCAGAGGATCCTTGAGAGAACTGAACTGGCTCAAGTTGAAGTGATCTGAATGGTGTCGGGACATCTGAGCCTGGGTAAGCATTGAGTCTGACATTGAACTTGTTGGAGTTCGGTGCTGATGCCTTCGGGAAGATGTATTCTGGCTTGATGACAACAGATGGAACTCTTGTGTCTGATGTCATTGAAATGACACCTTCTTGTGACTTCTTGGATGAGAAGAGGCAGATGTCGGCCGATCTCTTGGACTGGAAGACTGGCCAATTAAGCTTGAATCCTGGAACAATGTTCAAGCCAAGGATCTTGACACCAATGGAGCTGAGGTAAAGATCAATACCGAATGCGGCATTTGTGTAGATGTATGGAAGTGTGCACTTCTCCATGTTGAAGCCGAAGCCGAGATCGAGATGGAAATCTGAGCCAACAGCAAGGTCTGTGTTAAGCAAACTGCCAACATATGCAATAGCGCGGATACCCATATCAACGGTTGGAGAGATACCAAGTTTCATACCTTCGATGTACTCAATAAGAGAATTGTTATCGAGGTTAGAGTATGTATCGGAGTGGATATCCCATGTGTAAGGATCGCCGTGGTAGCCAGACTTTGTGGAAAGCTTTCCTTGCTTGTGGAAGTTGAAGACGAAATCTCTGTAGTATTCGAGTTCTGGAATCTCCATTGTGATGTTGTTGAGGAGGAATCCAATGTAAGCTTCGACGCCGAAGCCAATCTTGATGCCAAGAATCTCAAAGTCAATTCCATAAATTGGGTACTTGAATTCATAGATCTTAAGGTTATAATTGTAAACCTGCTTCTTAACAAGGATACCAAGTCCACCAACAGCGTTGATATCAACAGAGAATTCGGCAACAAGGTCAAATAAGCCTTGGAACTTTAAGGCTACTTGTCCGACGGCCTGACCGTAAGCACCAACGCGGTACTGGAAGTCACCATCCTTTGTGATGTTGTGATAGATTGGCTTTAATGATAATGGGTCTTCGCCATCTTTAGCTTCTGGCCAATTGTAGCTAAACCAAGCTTTGCACTTAGCACCTGTGAAAATAGTTTCATTAAGTGTGCAATCGTAGCCTGTTTGTGGCTTTGTTTGCATTTCAAGATTGGCAAAAACTTCTAATGGATTAACTGTAGAAACAGAATAAAGCTCTACTCGTCCGTCAGAACCAAGGGATTTGCCTAATTCGAAGATTTTTTGTTCGCTTGGTACTGCCATGAGTGGTTTTCTAGCCATTAAATTTTGGGATAAAGAAAGTTTTGATTGAACAATAGCAATTACGTTTTCTCTTTTAGCGAAGCCTTGAATTTGCTCCACATTTGGATTAACAAGTGGTCTTGTAAGATGGAATGAAACGCCGCCAAATGTATAATGACCTGGTTCCATGAGTTCTTCTCTTGCTGCAAGATTTATTCTACGAGAAGCACTATCAAGAGCCTCTTTTGCAAGGTCTCTATAGCGCCATGGAATGCGGGAGGATGAGATAACACATAAGAAGGAAAGCATTTCAAAATTTACAAGTATTATGAAAACTGCCATCATTTGATTTTAAAAAGAAACATTCTAGTTGCTGTATTCTCTTTTATCGCCTTTGCGTGATTTTATTTTAAAATTGAAAGACTGACAAAAGATTCAAATCTAATAGGCATACTTTTATTTTTCTATTGTTAATCTTTAAAAAGAATTCGTTAGTAAACCAACTATCAGCTCATTCAAAATTGAAAGGATCTTTGGCTCTATAAGAATTATTTTGTTTACATATCGTCAACGCTTAACTAATGTAACACAATTTTGGCACTTGTAATTGTTACGTAACATCATTGAGAATCAATATATAAAGCGACATGGATTTTTTATTGATTTTCAGAGGTTCCACATTTTGATTCTCTCAAAAGTTATATTCCGAAGCTTAACATATATCGTATTGCAAAATCCTCCAGAATCACACAACAAAACTATTAAATCTCCAAAGATAAAAGATTCGCAACTTGATTGTTTGAGATCATGAATAAGTTTAAGTTTAATTTAAAGTAACAAGTCAAAACTGAAGCATAAAAGGAACCATTAAATCGATTTTGGCAAAACGATTGTGTATTATTATATCAGATCGAAATGGCATTTGATTTGAAAAAGAATTTTAAACAAGACTAAGTGAGGAGTTGCTTCCCAATCGAATGTATAATATGTATGTAATCGAGCAATGCTCATTACTCTCAAAACAAAAAAAATTTGATAAATTATGAAAAATAATATTATATCATTACAATTTAATTACATAAACAATACAATAATAATGTTAGAGGATTTTCATTTTGAAATCATCGGTATTAATAATATTATTAAAAATACTTGCAAATTCAGTCCTGTCATTCGACTCTAACCATCAAATATTTCTTGATAATATTTTCAACAGATTGTGGTGTTCTTTTGATCAATTTTGATGCAATAGCCGCATAATTATTATTATATTCCCTATAATACCTAGCAATATTTTCAAGTTCTTCTTTTTGAGGCTCCCTTTCAGTATCAACAGGCTCCAAGAAGCGAGAATATTTAGGATTATTTTGAATTAATATAATTTCATTTTGTATTTCAAAAATTGTTTTTCCAGGCACTTTTTGAATGATTTGGTCCCATTTATCAGGTGTTGCAGCATAAGCGATGCACATTTTTATTCTAAGATTTTCCGTTCTTGATAGAGAACTTTGAAAAGTATTGAAAGAATTTGGACTTTGTGAATTTGATATTGGTTGTTGACTAAACATATATTTCGTGATTTTATTTTGTTTAGTATTAGTTTCTGTTGAGACCTTTGTTGATGGATATGAATTAGGAGCCTGAGAAAAAGGTTGACGACTAAGAATTGGCTGTTGAGAACTAATATCATCATGCTTCTTAAAACCAATTATTTCGACATCATCATCTGAATCATCATCAGAATTAACAACTGGCTTTTGTTTAGCTGGTTCTGGAGGCTTTGACATGTTTGGACGGGCTATTTGTGCAGGATTTGACCGAATTAATTGTAGTGGATTTGGTGGTGCTATTTGTTGTTGGGTTGGAGGCATTACTTGTATTGGATTTTGTTGAACAGATTTAGATGGATTTTGATGCTCAAGTTGTTGAAGAATTTGTTGAGCTGTTTGTGGGGAATTTTGCTGAAACATCTGCTGTTGCTCTTGTTTATACATCTGGATTGCGTATGCTTGCAATAATTTTTGTTGTTGTACTACCGATTTCTGCTGAGATTCAGGATTTGCTTGATTAGGAGGGTTTTCTACAGATTTTGGAGTAATATTCTGTTGTAAAATTGGGTTATTTTGCGGTTGTTGATTCAGAGTTGTGGCAGTCGTTGGTGTGGGATTAACAACAGATTGAGTTTTCTGTGGTGTTTCTACTACAGGTTGATGAGAAGTAACAATGTTTTCAGGACTGCGGATCTGAGGGGCATGACTCTGACCAACAAAACTTTTAGGTTCTGGAACTTGTCTTATTACTGTAACACCTCTGAATCTACGACCAGTCAGTGGTTTCGTAATCAGATTATTTGACATGTTTTGCATTGTACTTGAATAAGAGTCATTATCACTAGCTTCTTGATCGTTAGTTGTGCTTTCTTGGTCATATGACTTTTTGCTACTTTCATTAATTTTATTAATAATTTTAAGAACACTTTGATATGTTTCTTTATCTTTGAATATATTGTGCTCTAGATTTTCCAAACGAGCAGCTTCTTTCTTTATTTTTTCTTGTTCAATTTCAGTCTCTTTAGAAACTACCGCTTCGCTTTGGGATTCATCAGAATCAGATTCTACTGTTGTAACTTTTTCAGAATTAGCGTCCGCAAATCTTTTAGACGTTTCATTTATATGAAGTGTTGGTGTAGGATGAGATAAAAGTAATCCTAAAGCTTTAGATAAATCATTATCGCATGTTTGTAACGCATTTGTTACCATATAAGAATTAAAGCCAAGATTCAGTAAATATTCTTGATTCGGCGAAAGAGTACTATCATTTGCGTATTTCTTTGGATTACATATTGCATACGATTCTGTTATGCTATTGAAAAGTGTTGCATCCCTTTTATCTTTTACCGAATGAGCTGCATCAACGTATTTTACGATAATTTCATTTCCATTTTGCTTGATTAGATTGAATATGTTATCGTTTTCTGTTATTTGCTTATCTTTTGCATATATTGTTATTGAATCCATCGGAACACGCGTGAATTTACTAACCATCATCTTTAACGAATGCAACGTAATTAGCCTAGCTATTTTAATCATTGCATTTTCTGTTTCAGAGAATTTAACGCGTACATCCATACGTTAAATTTTCTGCAATGATATAAAATGAATTAAATATAGCAACTCTATGACTTGTTATTCATAGGCAAATGTATTCCACATAGTAATGGCTAACAGTTTCTAAAATATTTAAATTTCTGAGTATATTGAGCAAAACAGTATGCAAAAGAATCAACTCTGAAGTACTTTTACATCGGAATTAATTTATGAAATATCAACTGTGAGTAGTAAACACAGAAGAAAAAATTTTTGAAATTTACAAACAAAAAGTAAAAAGAGATCATGTTTACAAGTTTTATTATAGAATTAAACAAATAGTTTAGCAGCATCTGCCAAGTCTGGGTCAAATACTTCAATTTTTGCAATCAAATTCATGATACGATTTCTCTGTTCTCTCTGCTTAATGGCAAGCTCGGAAATTTCATCTCTCATTTGCTTTGATTTGTCGCGAACAAGTTGTTCCATCCATTTCTTTTCTAAGAAAGGATCGTTTGGAGGACGGTCAATGATTTCAGCATCTTGTTCCGTATTATGGCGTTTGAGTCGCTTTACTTTATTCCATGCAAATGGCGCTGATGATAGACCTTCGTATAATAAAAGAGATGGATTTCTAAAAACGATTTTAACTCTCTTTCGCTCTATTATGCATGGCTTGCGTGATGTTGGAGGTGGAAATGTAATGAAATGGACCAAGTTTAATGGGATAGCGTTCTTTGGAGCAATTTCAATATTAGCTTCAAATTCACCCCAGCAATCTTCTGCAACACGGTAAGGTTCATGAGTCATAATTCTTTCTGGTCTTTCGAAAGTATGGTGCAAGTGAAAAGTAACTTTATCAATCCATCTCGTTAAATCTTCTCCATTTGGACTGTATAAAAAGATCTCCAAATGGTGAGTTTTATCATCAGTCTGTTTCGGCAGTCTTTTGGCTAAATGTCCATAGATGAGCTCTTTTTCAATTATCAAATCTTTGTCACTCATCAAATTTACTCCTTCAAAATTAAATAAAGAAGAGCATTTCTTTCTCATTCAATATTCTAAAAATGATCCCATTTTTCAAGATTTTGATTCCAAGTTTACATTTTTCCTGATATTCGCTTATTTCACTAGTCGATTTTGCCTCTTTAGCAAAATTTCGTTTAGATCTGTTTGCTATAATACCTTTAATCGGATTAGTCATATGCATTTATCCAAATGAAATTCGAAAAGACATCTTTATACACGATATTATTACAAAATCTAATTCATCAATTTATATTGCTCAAATTTTGCTTCCTCACAACAATATTACACGTTTCTATACTTCATATAGTATATGGGGTAAAAATATAACATACTTTTTCAATCAATCATTATATGTTACAGTTACAAAAGAGAAAAGAATTCATTATGGGGACAAAAACTTACAATACGGTAAATATTCACAACGATCTCATAAAGAATCATACAATTTAATTTACGCAAGCTTAGTTTCTATAGAAGATTTTCTTAAAAATACAAATTTTTCATGGTATTTCAGGACTACAGATGATGTATTAGTCAATATACCTAATTTTGTCCAGTTACTTGAAAATCTTGACAAAGAATACAATCCAAGAACAGATTACGTATTTAAGGGCATGCTTAGCACTAATGTTTTTGTTCATGGAGGACCTGGATGGATAATTTCAAGAGCATTATGCGAGAAAATCCATCAAGAAATATTGAATTACAATTCAAAACAAGAAATCGGAGATGATGTAATAATGCTGCAAATTGTATCAAAATACATCACTGATATCAATAAAATACACAGTTCTGCTTTCGTGGGACCAAAATTAAATAAAAATTCGGAAAAATTGATACAAGATTGGGAATTCAAAGATCCCCCACAATGCAAAAGTGATATTTTAACAAAAATCAATAACATTGCAGTATGGCACTGCGGAAATCGTGACTTAGAACCTCTGCTCTACGGAAATAACATTATTTCTGAAGGCTCACGATTTTGGGCTCTAGAAAAATGGGGATCGAATGAAGCAAATATTTGCACTAACTAGGATCTGCTTGATTTTTTTGTTTGCGCATAAAATATAGTTTAATTTCGGATATATTTACATCATAACATGAACAACATATTAGGATTTCAAGAAAGAATAATAATCTCAATAATAAGAACATAACAATCATTCTCACTTATTTTTAATGTTTCAACTATTAAAAAAAATTTTTAACAAATGTGAAGCACCGCTGGTCTAATGGTAGAATTTCACCTTGCCAAGGTGGGGGTCCGGGTTCGATTCCCGGGCGGTGCATTACTTTTTCATTTTAAACTTGTTTTTGACACTTTTTTGTAAATTCTTCCGGTAGAAGATTTTAGATGATTTCGCTCTTTTTTTACCACATTTTATCAGAAAATTGCTATGATTTTTCCAGCCCCATCCTAGATCAGCTCATATTTTCCGACGAAAGCATTTATTCATGCTATATTATACATGATTGTACTGCAATCAACTTAAAGTTACAAAAAGATGGTGGCCGCATCAGAATTTCAAAATCAAACAATAAATTACAACTAAATAACGTATTATTTTCTGGTTGTTCATCATCAACAGCTGCTGTCGCTTTAGTTGATAATTCGATGTCAGTAAATACACAAAACTTATGTGTATACAACTGCAAATCAAATGAAATTAGCTTCGGTAGGTTCAGTGGTGAAGCAGAGTTTACTTTATGCACAACAGCATTATTATCCGGAATAGATGCAGGAAAAGATAATAATGTACTAGAATTCAACTGTGTAGGCATTGTTCTCAATAATAACAACTTTACTTCCAATATAGGAAAGAATATTGTTAATATGCAGGCAAAAACTACTTCATCAGTCATTTACTTGAATTTTGCCAGTAACTCTATCAAGAATGACTTAACCGGTGCCGGATTTGAGATTGGCTCCAAAGGAAATGCAAAATTTTCGAATTTTATCAGAAATATATTGAGTTACAGCCTTGGCACAAGTGGATCAAATACCACCATTGAATCAAGCTATTTCATTTCGAACTACAAAGATATTAAATCAAAATCGAACTTATATTTAGTTCATTGCTTCACAGACCAAAGAATTTCGATCAGCGGACTTGTTTACGCCGCAAACATATCATATGAACCTTATCCAAGGAATAATATATACTATAGTAACGGAATTTGCAGAACTACGCAATATCCGAAATTTATAATCCCAACTCCAGCTCCAACATTACCTGAAAAGTGTGAAGATCCACCAAATGAAGAAAAACTTCACGCCAGACGCTACAAATATGTTTTTTGTTTAGCTGAATTTTCATCTCTTTAATTTTTATATTTTGTATGTGTTTTATCTCTATAAATTGTTTGTATTCTATCATAATTATCAAAATACAATGATTTTTAGCTAAAACTGCTTTAATACTGAAAATTGCTGAAATTTTCGAATTAACTCAAGAAATGCGGTTGTCTAAACAAAGTTATGTCATTTAAGGACTCTATGAATGCATAATTTTTGCATTTGAAAGCTCTTTACCTAGTTTTGAAGAAAAAACTTTGAAATTCCTGATAAACAAACGAACGAAGAGCACAATAAATGAAAATTCAAAAGCAAAGCGGGTGATATTTTTAGATTTGCAAGAAAACATTAATTTAGATTAGATTTTTGAATTAAATTTTGAATTCTGAAATATTTATTAGTTTAGAGATAATAATAGAATAATATATAGATCATGCTGAGATAAATATATAGAATGATGATAAAAGCATACCTAATATTTGAGAATAGTGGCAAATGTTTTGAGAACAGACAATATCACGGGGTAATTCATAATTATTAACTCGGGCAAAAAGCCTCACTCTGGATTCACCTTCGCAAAATCCAGGAATTCCTTTTGTATACCATTGTCCAGCTCTAGCGCAGAACATTCCAATTGCAAAGCACCAATTTTCATGCTGCGGCTGCCCATCAAGTAATGCATATTTGAAAGGATCTCTAACGAGGCCACCAAAATAATAAGCCGGACCATCATAAATATCAACTTGAATATCAGTTGCATTATATCCATATGCATTTCTTGATACAGATCGATCTGTGTCAAAGTATGGATGAAGCAGTTGCAACCAAGAGTTAAATTTATTTTTGTTCGGGTATTCAAGGATAAAATGATGGTACCCATCTTCGCTTATAAACCTTCTCTCGTTGAGATGCAAAAGGATTGAATACTTTCCAGGATCATCAGCTTCGAGCGCTTCTTTTTCACTGGTGAAACATGGATCAATGCTATGATTGTGCTCAAAAACGCGTATATAGTAATGTCCTCGATATTTTGTTGTAACAATCCCTTTGTGGTAAAATACTTCGAGCCCGATTCCCTAAAAATCCCTTGTAAAATATTGAAATTTCATATCAAGGAAGAAAGATCTTTTCTCATTGAAATAAAGAAACTACAATTAAATATGAGAGATGCTGATCCTGGAGTTCCATTGGAGATGAATCGGACTTTAAGGGGATACATTTCTCTGTTTATATAACGATAAGTTACTGATTTTCTATAATTTTTGTGTAATTCACGAGCTTTTCAAGTTGAATTCTCAGTGAGAGTTATTAGTATAAGTTCAAACAATAAGTGACACACAAATATAAGTTTCCAAAATAACAAAAATCAATTTAATAAAATATATAAAAATATAAGAATAAAATAAAAATTAACGATTTTCCATAGTCTGGCAGTATTGGATAGCAATCAAAAGCTTCTGGTAAGTGATTTCTTCACTTGAATACGGTGGCAAGTGCAATCTGTTGAAGCAAGTTGAAGCAGTTGGAAGGGACTGATCAGGATTCTCTCTTTCCAACTTATCAATCTTAAGAACGAAACTGGAGTTGATTGATGAGTTTGGCAATCTCGTGAGTGTTGTAATGAACTTAAGCAACAACTTGCGCTGGTCAGGATTGAATCTATCAACAGCGTTGAAGAACCATCTGATGTTCTTATCTTCAAGGCCTTTGTAGTCATTAACTTGTGTGATTGATCTGAGCTGTTGTGTCGTGATGACATTTGATCCCTGAGCCATGTGAGACAAACGAGCACCAGTCAACAGAGGATGTGAATCGATCTTTGTGTTGTCGATGAATCCCTGTCTGATCAATTGAAGTGTTGGCTTGATTGAGTTGATTCTGAAGTTGATGCATTCGATGATGAAATTCTCAACTTCGCCAGGTCCAACAGTTGAATCTGCAGAGTGTCCAGGAAGCATTGCTTGCTGTCCATTCCACTGTTCAATCTTCCATGGAACTGCGCATCTCTGGAAGTCCTTGTCCGCTTCTGCTTGTCTCAGCTGAGCGAACTGATCAGAGAGCATTTTGTCGACCATCAAAATGTCGTTTGAAGAAAGTTCACCACCAGCGATGAACTTCCAAACGAAAGGAACAAATGGCATATCCTGGACAAAACCTGTTCTTACGACCATGCCAATGTAGATACCGATGCCTCTGTAGATATCACTGTATTCTCCATTAGTTTCGTCGTAAGGAACGAACAAGTCTTTGAACTGTCCGCGGTGGTGTCTCGCGTTTGGAACAGGGAAGCAGAGACATGATGTTTTCTCGAAAATGGAAGTAGCGCATTCTGTCATGAGCTCTCTCATTGGACCGGAAGCATCGATAGCTTCTTCGTCTACAAACTTTACCTTCCACGGTTTCGTTGCAGAGCGAAGCATCTCCATTCTGACAGTCTTGAACCACATTGCGACCTGGTGCATGATTGACTGTCTTCTGTCTCCTTTTCCATCGAGAATGACTCTGTGGGCGCTGTGTCTGTCGACTTTGATGACGCAGTGGTCGTTTTCGTTTCCTTTCGCGATGCAGTTGATGAATTGGTCTGATGCATCTTCGCAGGACACGAACATGTTCATTGATGACCAAATTGACTCTGGAACATCTCTGAAATGGTTCAGTTTCAAGTAGTTGAACTGGTGAATCAAAAGAGCTCTCAATGCAACAACAGATGGAGAATATCTCGATGCGAGTGTTGATTGTTCCGCAATGGATCTGACTGTTGAAAATGTTGGCATTTGGAGTGCCGATCGTGGTAAAATGTTCAACAATGCATCAGTATCATCGTCATCCCATCTGATTGCGAAATCTTTCATGTCTTCAATGAATCTGGCGTGGATTTGGTCCAAATCAACCATGACTCTCTGTCCTTTCAAGCTCTGGCTCTCGTCATCTTTGAAGAACAACTGTGGCCTGAATTCGCTCCATCCCATTGGAACAGAAATCAATGCCAAATAAGTGATTTCGTCGTTCAAAACTATATCTCTCTTGAAATCTTCTGGGAAGATGTATTCTGCCTCTTCGAAGTTCTCTGTCTTTGAGCGGCTGATCATTGCTTCAGAACCGAGATTCTTCAGTGGATTCAATCTCAAAGTAACTCTGACTTTGGAAGGATTGACAAGTCTCAGCAGCCAATAAGAGAGATGTCTTAATTCTGGCTTGATGTAGTCAGGCTTTCCTTTGTAGTATTCAGAAGCTCTGAACCAGAGAGGAAGAATTTCCCAGAACGGGAAGCCAATCAATGAATTGTATCTTCTCACGAAGAGTCTGATTGACATGATGTGCTGGAGATAATCGAATGTGATTGCGCCAGGATCCAGAGGAACTTGTGGTATCATTAACTGGGACTCTGATGTTCTTGGAATCTCAGAGTTGAAGAATTCTGGGAAGTGGGAAGCGAGATCTCTTGCAATCTGTGAAGAAAGAACTCTGTACTCTTGGTTGTAGACAAGGGAATATCTGTCTATTTGGTAAGGAGGCATCTTCGGAATCTGGGAACCCAAAAGTAACAATTTGTGGATGTAGTTCTTGTCTTGGTCGATTGGTGTTGAAGGAATTGTTACTTGAAGTAACTCCAAGAATTGTGGAATGTACTTGAGAATGAATGGAGAGTTAGATACCAAAGAATCAATGATAACTGATTTCGCAAGTAGTTTGGCTTCATTAGTTGTAACCATGTAAATGTATGACTTCAAAAGAATCAACATTTCAAATGGAGTTTCGAAAATCCATGAGTTATCCATAGGCAAAATCGAAAGAACAGAAAGTGCATATGATCTCGTGTTTTCAACATTGAGCTTTAGTTGTAATGGGATAGCGATCAAAGCAGGAGATTCCAGCATTGCCTTTCCTGCAACGGAAAAGAAATTAGGAACAAAGCCAACGAAAGAGTTAATTGTAACAATCGAAGAACCATTTGTTGGGACAGGGTTCTTGACTTCTCCTGGAGGGGAGTACTTGTGCCATCTGTTTGGATAAGCAATCAAATGTAACAATGGATCATTTGACATGGTCTTCAAACATTTTCCGACAGCTTTAGGAACATCACTTCTCTTTGCGAGAGATTGCATTGCGGCCTTGCAATCGATGTCCAAAGAGAGATAGAGAAGATTAGTTGTGGCCTTGGGATCCCAGATTGGCTCGTTCAAAGAGAACATGAACCTGCCATCTCTGTATTCGTTAGGGAAGAACTGTTCGAGTAAAACTGACAAAATTGAGAACAATTTGACAATTGCGATTTCGTTGTTGATCATTTCTGGCTTCTGCGCCGCGATTCTGATCAATCCAATTGTCATCCATTGGCAGGTTAACTCGTACATGAGTCCTCTGAACGCATCGATGCAGATCTGGCTTGATGCCTGTGTTGCAAACTGAGGATGGATCAAAATTGTGTTTATAGGAGTGATGAAGTTTCTTCTGAGTCTTTCTTTGTAAGAAACAGGGTTGACATCGATGTTGTACGAAGGAATCTTGTTGTAGTCTTCTGGCAACTGTTTGATACCTTCCAGCCAATAGACATCTTTGAACAGTTTGTTCTTGTTGGCGTAGGAAAGTACAGAATGAGGTGCCAAAGGTGGAAATGCTCTTGGATCAAATGGATCATTCGTTACATTTATTGTGTGTTGCATTGATTTGTGGCAAGCGAAGAGAACTCTGAATTTCTGTCCGTAAGGGAACTCGTACGTATTCTTTCCGATGGAGAATACTTTAGCATCTGTGTCTACTTCCATTGTGTAGGACTGGCTTGGCTTCAATTTCTCTGGTTCATCCAAAGAAGGATACATTTTTCCGCTTGGCAATTCAGCGAAACTGTATCTTGTGCTGTAGCCTTCGACAGTATCAGAGACAATACCAAGGTATCCTCTCATTCTGTCGCTTGTTGTTTGTACAGTTACACTGAATTTCACTCCTTCTTTGATCTGAGGACTCAAAAATGTAACTGTTGGAGCTTCTTTGTACACCAAAGTGTTGAAACCATTGTCTTGAGGAAGAGATGGCTTCCTAAGGAATGAATACGCTGTCTCAATGATATGAATGATGTTGCCAAATGGTACTGGATCTTTACTGAATACATCAACCATTTCTTGGGTGAAATGTGACATGAAATCAGGCTCTTTCAAAAAGTGGGCAATTGTTTGTACATACAAACTTTGTGTGATGTTATCGTATCTCTTGTTAATTAACATGTCGTTGAAGAATGACAGGATGAAGTCGTAGTAAGTGAACTTCTTTTGGTTCACTTGTATGAGAGGAACAGCGTAAATGAATGCTGGTTTCTCGACAACGACTTTTTTGGCAGGGTCTGTCAAAGAAAACGGTTTTTGGTAAATAATGTATTTGTTTTCTTTTCTTGTTGGCAGAGCAATGACTTCTGTTGATGTTGTCAAGTCCTGGTGGAATCTTACATTGCAGAAAGGTCTCATTGGTTCAAAGAAGTTTGTCAAAACAGCTAAACATCCTGCGATTTCCACTTCTTTGTGGTCAGGAGTTATTGATGTCAAAATTTTGATCAAATTTTCTTTTGCGAGAATGTCTCTGTTCAAAACTTCTCTCAAAACGTGGACGAATTCACAAGCAATGTCCAAGCCAGCGAATTGGCTGAATGCAGAGCCAATTAAGAAGATTGCCTGCTTAAAGAATGCGTCGTATCTTGATGAAGTTGGAGAATCAAACAATTGAGACAAAACTCTTCCGCAAACTCTTACTGTCAATGGATCTCTCGACTGGAACATTCTGTTTGCGACCATGTCGAAAGCATCTTCATTGTAACTGAGAGTTCTAAATGATTCCGCCAACAGAATCATTTCTCCCATTGAAGAATTGGGGTTCATCAATGTTGGTTCCAATTTGTCACATTTTCTGATTAAACTCAATGCCAAAGCAAACAATTGACAGTTGTTTGGATCTTTCGAAAGCAAATCCAAAATATTATGTAACAAATTGAGTTGTACACTTTGCAATGCATCGATATCTCTGAAGAACCTCATTGCCAACAATGTGAATCTGTTATTCTTAGTTGTCTGTATCATATCAATGACTCTCGCGTAGAACTTGTTGATTTGATCTAATTGTTGTGGAGTCATTTTCGTGATTTTGATGATAACTGACAAACCTTCGAAAGATTCAATGGAACTCAATGTATAAGCAATGATATCATTAAGTAATGGATGCAACTGCATTGTGTATGTTCTATCAATCAATGAGAAACCAACTAATGTAGTTTGGATTCTCGATCTCTGCTGTTTGATGATGTTTTTAATTAAGAATGGTGAAAAATCATTGGAAAGATATTCAGAAATTAATTGTTCTTTGTTGTCATTCTCAAGGAATTCACTTTCCATCCTTAATAACATCAATGCTCTGATCTTTATCTCTTCTGCTTGATGCTGTTTCTCGTTTTGAAGAAGGTTTCTATACGTATTCCTTACTTTTGTCATTTGATCAACAGCTTTCTTTAATTCTGCACTCAATGTTGTCTTAAGATTGAACAGATCTTCTAAGATTCCCATGTGTTTGCAGATGGCCAACAATGTTACTCTGTCAAGATCTTTCAGTTCTGGTCTCAAGTTCCTGTGTGTAGGAGCTTTGTATTTCGTGTAAATTGTCTGAATTTGAGAGCATTCAGAATTATTCAGAAAATTGTAAATTCTTTGGTCGGCAAAATTGTTTGTGTTCGGATTGTCAAGGGAATTGAATGCTTCCTGGTTATCAATGATATCGATGTTCGCGCGCATCAGCCACATGCACTTTGACTCAAATTCTGACTGACCACCGCCTTTGAACAATGTTGCAGAGTATCTGCCGAATGTGAACAGTAATGTAAGGACAAAGTTGGCAATCTTTGGGTAAAGATTGATATTTGGTACTTTGGTGTTGATGAAATCGGATAATTTCTGCAATAAAACGGATAAAAGTGCAGTTGTGATTCTGGCAATCGCGTGGTATTCGACAAGAGGGGAAATAAGACGTATGAAGTTGTCGAATAACATGAAGATCAAGGAATCTTGGAAATCAACGGGTGTTTGTGAGTTGGAAATGGAAGTATCAAATTTCGTGACTAATATGTTGAAATAATCACCGAAATTGTCTAATTCGGATGGTTCGGCACGATCTGGCCTTGCGCCAAAGGTAATTTCAGCAAATGGATCTTCTTTCAGACGTTTTGTTGCCCATGTCAGTAAAACTCGTTGATGAAGGATCAAGAGATTGAGGATTGACTCTGGAACATTGTTTATGTTGGTGAATGTCTGAGGAATAAGCTCGGAGAAGGAGTTTGGAGTGGAAAACGGAATCTTTGCTAATACAGAGGAAGTTTCAAGGTATCTCATGGCGTATCTGTTGAGATTATCGTATTGTATGCGCTCCTTGATCAGTTTGACAAGGATATTGATCGAATACGGCTGATTATACTTGAAGAAAAATTCTGTATTAGAAAAGAAGAGGATGACGGCAAGGTTTGTAGGAAGCAATGTCAGTAAATCGAATAATTTCTGGATCAGAACTGGAATCTTTGCATTACTTTGCTGAATTAAGATCAAATTTGCCTGAAGAATGGAAATTAACGATTGAACGATAGAGACGATCGAATCCTTGGCCGATGACATTACGTTTGACGGTAGCGTTAAGTAGCTTGTAATTAGATCAACCAGTTTTTCGAACATTTGACTTTGCCTTGGAATGAAAAGACGTGGAATAATCTGCGATCCGATGAAAGCAGACATGAGTGGTGTGATCGCTTTGATGAATTTCTTGAGCTTCTTTTGGAATAATAACATTGCATCGTATTTCGCGAGATCCAATAACGTTGGATCCTCGGAACCAAGGAAGAGAAGCTTTCTGACTGCAACTCTGTTGTTGTTAATAGGTACAACTATGTAATAACACCTATTTACAGCATCAATTGTTGCAGCAAGGATCGGTTCTGGGTATTGGAAGCCGACATCGATCAAGAACTCACCGGAGACCAAGGAGAATATTCTGAAAATGGAGTTATTCGGTCTTTGGTAGAGAAATGCGAGATAATGGCCATTTGTAACGATAGGAACTTGATAAGAAGCTTCGATAGGGAATAATGATTGAAGAGATGGATCAAGATGGGCTTTAGAGCGCTTGAGTGTCTTAGATATTGTTGCACTTCCGTATTTCGCTTTGTATTCCCACATATCGTTAACGCTGACGTGCGAAGCGCCATCGGATACGACAAATTTGTCTTTGCAGGTTTGCGGTGATGCTTGGGCGAAATTAAGACCTTCTTCTAATGGTTTAGTGATAAGATCATTGATTCTGAAGGTGTATTTGTATTCACCATCTATGACATATAGTTTTGCTCTATCTACGTAGATGCAAACGTTTTCTTTGAATTGTTTATCAATTTTTCTTCGAATTGGAGCTGTAAGAATACAGCCACCTTCCGTAATTGGGAATATGTAGAGATCGCTTGCTGTTAAAACAAACAAAAATGTACCATTCGAGCAGATTGTGTGTTTCCAAATTCTTGTGCACTCAATAACTTCGTAAGGTGAGCCACGATAGCAGAATTCGACCATTGGAGGTGGAATAGCTGTTGGTGGAATAGTATCATCAAGATATTCAGTAATGTCTTCGAGTAATTTTGATTTTGTATCTTTCTTTTGAATAACATTAAGAGCAACCTCGAAACCTTCAATAAGCTTATCGAAATTCAATTTGAAATATAATTTACGTGTTGGAACAAATGTAAATGCGGGCATATTTAATAATCTGTAATGAGAAGTAAAAGCAATGTTTGTTTCACGTGCAGCGAAAATTCTGATATACTCGTCAAAATATGTTTTCAATTGTTCGATAAAAGTTTCATCACGTGGTTCAGAATTTGAAATTATTGCTTCAATGACCGTTCTTAAGTTGACGATTTGGTCGAAACAGTTTATTGTCATGCCAACTATATCTTGTGGATGATGACAGGTAGCAACCGATGGTTTAAATTTGCTTACTGGTGGTGGATTATAAGATAAAACAACTAATTCTCGCGCAAAAAAGTGAGCAGAAGGGTTGTAATCCCTCATATTTGCGAAAACTGGATCACGAGAAAGAGGTCCTATATTTGCGGATGAGGAAGATGTTCCTGCACCCATTTTCTTTCTCTAAAAAGTTTTTTTATATTGTCAGAAATTTCAAAAAAAAGTGGATCTAAAAATTGTGTGGCGCTTTTTTTCGCAATCAAAAACCTTTCAAGTTGTGTAAATTGGTAACTTTGTTAAGAAGCGTAAATGTGTGTGAAATATATTAATTATCCATTTGCCTCGATCTTTCATTGTGCGGGTTTTTGAGTGAACGCAAAAAGGCGTCAAAAATTTTCTCACTGGGTTTTCGTGTATCAATCCCAGCTCATTATATACGCAACCAATCAAAAATCTGATATGGGAGTCCAAGGCTAACTTTTTGTTGTCTACCTAATAAAAGAGGAAGCAGCATTAGTGAGAATAATCGCAAATATTCAATTTAAATTATCTTTTTATTCTTAATTTAAAGTGACAAAAAGAATAAAAAACCTATTCTAAGGCATGTTGTTATGTAAATGAGACTAGACATCATATTTTATGTTATGAAAAAAAAATATTTAGAATTTTAGAACAAAATAAATAGAAAAAATAGCATAACTTATGGATGTGCGTATATTAAATTTAATAAATTAAGAGAAATTATTTTTGGCGCCAAAATTATTCGTTAACTCTCAAATTTTTCTGAGTCAATAAGCCGCCAAAAAAGTGTCATTTCTTTATAGGAAAGGAAACCTATTTGACGAACAATCCGGACACTAGTGCCTCAGCGAATTTCCCCAAACCCACCAATCCCCTCCCTGCTGTTGTGCACCATCGATGGAAAGTAAGTCATCAATAGTCTCTTTTCCTGATTTCAAGCTAACGTTAGATCATTCATGAAAGAAATCATTGCCTTTCATCAGAGACTTTCGTTATAACTGCGCTGCTCTCAAGTTCATCTTGAGAAATTTACGTAATAACTGAATTCCCAAAGTTCTTTAGGTGATCCAAAACACTGTAGCTGCTTGAACTTTGGACGAGCCTCGCACCCCAGAGAATAGAAATCCCAATCTTGCTCATGTTTAGTTGAATTAGTCTGCAGCAGTACAGCTCTGATACCACAAGATCGTGATGTATACAAAGTCACAACGCTATTTGATTCAACAACTAGCTAGTTTTGACATCAAATTGCAAAATTTGACTTCGTTATGAGCTCTTTGTAGCAAAAATACATTACACTTAAAGACTAGTTGCTAGACTGTAGTAGTTTGTTCGTATATATCTATTTTTCCCCAACGTATTGCATACTACATTTTGACAAGACTTGCAACCTTATAGTAACCTCGTTGGGAATTGTTCAAGCAAAGCGTAGGTAGTTAAGGTCGAGTAAGAGTTCTTCTTAAATCTTTCACTGAATGAGTAGGTGTTGGAAGAACTGTTCTCTAAAGCGATACAGTTGCGCTACATGTTCGTCAACTTGTCTAGAAATAAATATATCATTTGTTTTATACGTTTTTTCGTAATAAATCTATTTGTATTTGTTGTATTTGAGTATGAAGATAACAAAAACTACGGCATAAGACGCAGTACACTGGGCTTCGTTGCCATTTTATTTACCATGTTAAGAATAAACTTAACAGACATGCTTTGTTTTCGACGAAGCCATCTAAAATAACGTACATCTAAATAAAACTAAAAAACTGTAAAATTTCTTTATTTGATAGTATACTTCAAATTATGCACTATACCTTCTAGAATTCTATAACACTCTTTGCATATAATTTTTTTAAAAAAAAGTTATATCTCGACAAAAATATGATTTATCAATAGAGTATGTAAAATAAAACTCATTCGCAGTATTAAAAAATCGTAAATCTTTCCAAAAAAATTTTGAATTACAAATTTTAAAACTTAAAACAACATTTTTTGAAGCGAAAAAACGAAATCTAATTTTTTTTGGAAAATTTAGAATAAATAGAGCTCTTTAACTCGTCGAATACAAATTGTTTTCAAGTTTTTTTCGACCGGAAATTGAACTTTTAGAGTTTATACAATAAGATTCACATGAAAAAATACGGGTTTAACAAAGAAATCACCAATATAAAGGTTTTTTAGTAGAACGAGATTGATAAAAACTATGGTATGATAAAAAGACGATAATTTTTTTGGCGGGATAATTGAAGAATATGAATGATTCGAATTACAGACATACTCTAGTCCGAAACTTACTATGGTTCGTGACTTATTTTTGACACAGAATAGCTGTAGACTAAGGCTTACTCTAGATCCAGACTTATTATACAATTAAATTTGCTTTTGGAATAAGACTTAATTTTAGTTACAAACTTATCTTAATATCAGACTTATATTTAGAATCAGACTTACTTTAGTCTAGAACTTACATTTAGAATCAGACTTCCATTTCAAGTCAGACTTACTTTCGTCCGAAACTTACATTTCAAGTCAGACTTACTTTCGTCCGAGACTTACATTTCAAGTCAGACTTACTTTCGTCCGAGACTTACATTTCAAGTCAGACTTACATTTCAAGTCAACTTACTTTCGTCCGAGACTTACATTTCAAGTCAGACTTACTTTCGTCCGAGACTTACATTTTAAGTCATACTTACATTAATATCAAACTTATATTAACCTACGACTTACTTTTATTCCCAGACATCTTGATCCACACTGACATTGAAAACTACTCATACATCTAAATCCACTCAAACATAATCCAAAAAATGATAATGTAATGAAACTTTATAGAAAATTGAAAATTTCGGCAATTAAAAATAAAGTCGAACAGCATTGTAAATGCAACTGCAACATGGAAAATGTTTATAAACTATATGGTGTTCATATTCCATGTATTCATAACATCTTAGATGTAAAACCGGCCGATTTAGAAAAACCTAAAGCATTTCATATTGGAAAATTGGAATTCAATAGTTCGAAGAATATTCTAGTTTATGATGATGAAGACAATCCGATAGGAAAGGGTGATCGGAAAAATGAACAATGCAAAATTTCGGCTCGGAAAACATTTACAACCAAAGTTGAGAACGAAATTTACTTGTATGAAGAACAAGTAACTCCAGATATAGGAGTTAAAAGTCTTGTTCAACGCATTTTAAATCTTCCGTCAATTGACAAGGCAACAAGCTTCATGTTTAATCTTGGGATGAACATCGATTATGATACAATTCAGGCAATTCATTATATATCATCATTAAGAAAAACACATCCAGAAGTGATAGATTTGGCATTAAGTAATGCATATCTTCCGGAAGAATCAGATGAATATCAGCAAAACAAAGACATGATTTCAAAAATTATCGAAGAAGTTTTTGATAATAAAGACAAGGAAAGAGATCCGGATTTTGTTGTAAGAAGGAAGAGGAAAAATGGTTTGTGAAAAAAATATTTATATGAATAAAATGTGTATGATTATTGTTTATAAAAACAGTTAATAAATATGAGAAACTATTTAATTATTTGTTATATAAAGATTCGATATACAGAACAGAATGAAAAAGGATAAAAAAATTAATCAGAAAGATGTAAAAGTTTGGGAGATATAAAAAATATTATAGAGATAAAATATTTCCAGAGAGATAAAAAAGTCAATGAAAGATGCAACAGTGTTAATGAGATGGCATAGTGTCTGAGAGATGCAAGAGTGTCTGAGAGATACAATAGTATCTAACAGAAGCAAAAGTAAGTGATAGATGCAACAGTGACTTATAGATGCAACAGTGTCTATGAGATGCAACAGTGTCTGACAGATGCAACAGTGTCTATGAAATTTAACAGTGTCTGAGAGATGCAAGAGTGTCTGAGAGATACAATAGTATCTAACAGAAGCAAAAGTAAGTGATAGATGCAACAGTGTCTATGAGATGCAACAGTGTCTGACAGATGCAACAGTGTCTATGAGATGCAACAGTGTTTGAGAGATACAATAGTATCTAACAGAAGCAACAGTGTCTGACAGATGCAACAGTGTCTATGAGATACAATAGTATCTGACAGATGCAACAGTGTCTGACAGATGCAACAGTGTCTATGAGATGCAACAGTGTCTATGAGATGCAACAGTGTCTGACAGATGCAACAGTGTCTGACAGATGCAACAGTGTCTGACAGATGCAACAGTGTCTGAAAGATGCAACAGTATCTGAAAGATGCAACAGTGTCTGACAGATGCAACAGTGTCTGACAGATGCAACAGTGTCTATGAGATGCAACAGTGTCTATGAAATTTAACAGTGTCTATGAGATGCAACATTGTCTGACAGATGCAACAGTGTCTATGAAATTTAACAGTGTCTGACAGATGCAACAGTGTCTATGAGATGCAACAGTGTCTATGAGATGCAACAGTGTCTATGAGATGCAACAGTGTCTGAAAGATGCAACAGTGTCTGACAGATGCAACAGTGTCTATGAGATGCAACAGTGTCTGACAGATGCAACAGTGTCTATGAGATGCAACAGTGTCTGAAAGATGCAACAGTGTCTGACAGATGCAACAGTGTCTATGAGATGCAACAGTGTCTATGAGATGCAACAGTGTCTGACAGATGCAACAGTGTCTATGAGATGCAACAGTGTCTGAAGATGCAACAGTGTCTGACAGATGCAACAGTGTCTATGAGATGCAACAGTGTCTGAAAGATGCAACAGTGTCTGACAGATGCAACAGTGTCTATGAGATACAATAGTATCTAACAGAAGCAAAAGTAAGTGATAGATGCAACAGTGTCTATGAGATGCAACAGTGTCTGAAAGATGCAACAGTGTCTGAAAGATGCAACAGTGTCTATGAGATGCAACAGTGTCTATGAGATGCAACAGTGTCTATGAAATTTAACAGTGTCTGACAGATGCAACAGTGTCTATGAGATGCATCAGTGTCTATGAGATGCAACAGTGTCTATGAGATGCAACAGTGTTTGAGAGATACAATAGTATCTAACAGAAGCAAAAGTAAGTGATAGATGCAACAGTGTCTATGAGATGCAACAGTGTCTATGAGATGCAACAGTGTCTATGAAATTTAACAGTGTCTGAGAGATGCAAGAGTGTCTGAGAGATACAATAGTATCTAACAGAAGCAACAGTGTCTGACAGATGCAACAGTGTCTATGAGATGCAACAGTGTCTATGAGATGCAACAGTGTCTGAAAGATGCAACAGTATCTGAAAGATGCAACAGTGTCTGACAGATGCAACAGTGTCTATGAGATGCAACAAGTGTCTGACAGATGCAACAGTGTCTATGAGATGCAACAGTGTCTGAAAGATGCAACAGTGTCTGACAGATGCAACAGTGTCTATGAGATACAATAGTATCTAACAGAAGCAAAAGTAAGTGATAGATGCAACAGTGTCTATGAGATGCAACAGTGTCTGACAGATGCAACAGTGTCTGAAAGATGCAACAGTGTCTATGAAATGCAACAGTGTCTGAAAGATGCAACAGTGTCTGAAAGATACAATAGTATCTAACAGAAGCAAAAGTAAGTGATAGATGCAACAGTGTCTATGAGATGCAACAGTGTCTGACAGATGCAACAGTGTCTATGAGATGCAACAGTTTTGAGAGATACAATAGTATCTAACAGAAGCAACAGTGTCTGACAGATGCAACAGTGTCTATGAGATACAATAGTATCTGACAGATGCAACAGTGTCTGACAGATGCAACAGTGTCTATGAGATGCAACAGTGTCTATGAGATGCAACAGTGTCTGACAGATGCAACAGTGTCTGACAGATGCAACAGTGTCTGACAGATGCAACAGTGTCTGAAAGATGCAACAGTATCTGAAAGATGCAACAGTGTCTGACAGATGCAACAGTTCTGACAGATGCAACAGTGTCTATGAGATGCAACAGTGTCTATGAAATTTAACAGTGTCTGAGATGCAACATTGTCTGACAGATGCAACATGTGTCTATGAAATTTAACAGTGTCTGACAGATGCAACAGTGTCTATGAGATGCAACATGTCTATGAGATGCAACAGTGTCTGAAAGATGCAACAGTGTCTGAAAGATGCAACAGTGTCTGAAAGATGCAACAGTGTCTGACAGATGCAACAGTGTCTATGAGATCAACAGTGTCTGACAGATGCAACAGTGTCTATGAGATGCAACAGTGTCTGAAAGATGCAACAGTGTCTGACAGATGCAACAGTGTCTATGAGATGCAAAGTGTCTGACAATGCAACAGTGTCTATGAGATGCAAACAGTGTCTATGAAATGCAACAGTGTCTATGAGATGCAACATTGTCTGACAGATGCAACAGTGTCTGACAGATGCAACAGTGTCTATGAGATGCAACAGTGTCTATGAGATGCATCAGTGTCTATGAAATTTAACAGTGTCTATGAGATGCAACAGTGTCTATGAGATGCAACAGTGTCTGAAAGATGCAATAGTGTCTATGAGATGCAACAGTGTCTATGAGATGCAACAGTGTCTGAAAGATGCAACAGTGTCTGAAAGATGCAACAGTGTCTGACAGATGCAACAGTGTCTATGAGATGCAACAGTGTCTATGAGATGCAACAGTGTCTGACAGATGCAACAGTGTCTATGAGATGCAACAGTGTCTGAAAGATGCAACAGTGTCTGACAGATGCAACAGTGTCTATGAGATACAATAGTATCTAACAGAAGCAAAGTGTGATAGATGCAACAGTGTCTATGAGATGCAACAGTGTCTATGAATGCAACAGTGTCTGACAGATGCAACAGTGTCTATGAGATGCAACAGTGTCTATGAGATGCAACAGTGTCTATGAGATGCAACAGTGTCTTGAGAGATGCAACAGTGTCTAACAGAAGCAAAGTGTGATAGATGCAACAGTGTCTATAGATGCAACAGTGTCTATGAGATGCAACAGTGTCTGACAGATGCAACAGTGTCTATGAAATTTAACAGTGTCTGAGAGATGCAAGAGTGTCTGAGAGATGCAATAGTATCTACAGAAGCAACAGTGTCTGACAGATGCAACAGTGTCTATGAGATGCAACAGTGTCTATGAGATGCAACAGTGTCTGAGAGATGCAATAGTTCTAACAGATGCAACAGTGTCTGACAGATGCAACAGTGTCTATGAGATGCAACAGTGTCTATGAGATGCAACAGTGTCTATGAGATGCAACAGTGTCTGAAAGATGCAACAGTGTCTGACAGATGCAACAGTGTCTGAAAGATGCAACAGTGTCTGACAGATGCAACAGTGTCTATGAGATGCAACAGTGTCTGACAGATGCAACAGTGTCTATGAGATGCAACAGTGTCTGACAGATGCAACAGTGTCTGACAGATGCAACAGTGTCTATGAGATGCAAAGTGTCTAACAGAAGCAAAAGTGTGATAGATGCAACAGTGTCTATGAGATGCAACAGTGTCTGAAGATGCAACAGTGTCTGAAGATGCAACAGTGTCTATGAGATGCAACAGTGTCTGAAAGATGCAACAGTGTCTGAAGATGCAACAGTGTCTATGAGATGCAACAGTGTCTATGAGATGCAACAGTGTCTATGAAATGCAACAGTGTCTGACAGATGCAACAGTGTCTAGAGATGCAACAGTGTCTACAGATGCAACAGTGTCTGACAGATGCAACAGTGTCTATGAGATGCAACAGTGTCTATGAGATGCAACAGTGTCTGAAAGATGCAACAGTATCTGAAAGATGCAACAGTGTCTGACAGATGCAACAGTGTCTGAAAGATGCAACAGTGTCTGACAGATGCAACAGTGTCTATGAGATACAATAGTATCTAACAGAAGCAAAAGTAAGTGATAGATGCAACAGTGTCTATGAGATGCAACAGTGTCTGAAAGATGCAACAGTGTCTGAAAGATGCAACAGTGTCTATGAGATGCAACAGTGTCTGAAAGATGCAACAGTGTCTGAAAGATGCAACAGTGTCTGAAAGATGCAACAGTGTCTATGAGATGCAACAGTGTCTATGAGATGCAACAGTGTCTGACAGATGCAACAGTGTCTATGAGATGCAACAGTGTCTGAAAGATGCAACAGTGTCTGACAGATGCAACAGTGTCTATGAGATACAATAGTATCTAACAGAAGCAAAAGTAAGTGATAGATGCAACAGTGTCTATGAGATGCAACAGTGTCTGAAAGATGCAACAGTGTCTGAAAGATGCAACAGTGTCTATGAGATGCAACAGTGTCTGAAAGATGCAACAGTGTCTGAAAGATGCAACAGTGTCTATGAGATGCAACAGTGTCTATGAGATGCAACAGTGTCTATGAAATTTAACAGTGTCTGACAGATGCAACAGTGTCTATGAGATGCATCAGTGTCTATGAAATTTAACAGTGTCTATGAGATGCAACAGTGTCTATGAGATGCAACAGTGTCTATGAGATGCAACAGTGTCTATGAGATGCAACAGTGTCTATGAGATGCAACAGTGTCTATGAGATGCAACAGTGTCTATGAGATGCAACAGTGTCTATGAGATGCATCAGTGTCTATGAGATGCATCAGTGTCTATGAAATTTAACAGTGTCTATGAGATGCAACAGTGTCTATGAGATGCAACAGTGTCTGAAAGATGCAACAGTGTCTGAAAGATGCAACAGTGTCTATGAGATGCAACAGTGTCTATGAGATGCAACAGTGTCTATGAAATTTAACAGTGTCTGACAGATGCAACAGTGTCTATGAGATGCAACAGTGTCTATGAAATTTAACAGTGTCTATGAGATGCAACAGTGTCTATGAGATGCAACAGTGTCTATGAGATGCAACAGTGTCTATGAGATGCAACAGTGTCTATGAGATGCAACAGTGTCTATGAGATGCAACAGTGTCTATGAGATGCAACAGTGTCTGACAGATGCAACAGTGTCTATGAGATGCATCAGTGTCTATGAAATTTAACAGTGTCTATGAGATGCAACAGTGTCTATGAGATGCAACAGTGTCTGAAAGATGCAATAGTGTCTGACAGATGCAACAGTGTGTATGAGATGCAACAGTGTCTATGAAATTTAACAGTGTCTGACAGATGCAACAGTGTCTGACAGATGCAACAGTGTCTATGAGATGCAATATTATCTGTCACACATAACAATGTCTGACAGATATATCTTTCTATGATTCTAACCCTAATTACATTTTTCGTAAAAAACTATATTTAAGATTTGCAATTAACACCCTTTTTTCTCTTCCAATAATGCACAAAACCAAGATTTGACATCAGATTTAAAATCTCCATCAAGTCTGCTTTCCAAATCCGCTGTCAAAACTTGAATATCTCAATTAATTAATGATATTCAGATATTGCGAATAATCTTTAGGTAAAGAAGAAAATTTATGTTGTAAAATCATATAAAAATGTAGTTAGAGAGCAAAAATTATGTTTGAGTGGATCTCCATGTCGTAGTGGATCTAGATGTTTGAGTGGCTTCAGATGTATGAGTGGTTTTCAATGTCAGTGTGGATCAAGATGTCTGGGAATAAAAGTAAGTCGTAGGTTAATATAAGTTTGATATTAATGTAAGTATGACTTAAAATGTAAGTCTCGGACGAAAGTAAGTCTGACTTGAAATGTAAGTCTCGGACGAAAGTAAGTCTGACTTGAAATGTAAGTCTCGGACGAAAGTAAGTATGACTTGAAATGTAAGTCTCGGACGAAAGTAAGTCTGACTTGAAATGTAAGTCTGACTAGAAATTAAGTCTCGGACGAAAGTAAGTCTGACTTGAAATGTAAGTCTCGGACGAAAGTAAGTCTGACTTGAAATGTAAGTCTCGGACGAAAGTAAGTATGACTTGAAATGTAAGTCTGACTTGAAATGTAAGTCTCGGACGAAAGTAAGTATGACTTGAAATGTAAGTCTGACTAGAAATTTAAGTCTCGGACGAAAGTAAGTATGACTTGAAATGTAAGTCTGACTAGAAATTTAAGTCTCGGACGAAAGTAAGTATGACTTGAAATGTAAGTCTCGGACGAAAGTAAGTCTTGGAAGAAAGTAAGTATGACTTGAAATGTAAGTCTCGGACGAAAGTAAGTCTGACTTGAAATTAAGTCTCGGACGAAAGTAAGTCTGACTTGAAATTAAGTCTCGGACGAAAGTAAGTCTGACTTGAAATGGAAGTCTGATTCTAAATGTAAGTTCTAGACTAAAGTAAGTCTGATTCTAAATATAAGTCTGATATTAAGATAAGTTTGTAACTAAAATTAAGTCTTATTCCAAAAGCAAATTTAATTGTATAATAAGTCTGGATCTAGAGTAAGCCTTAGTCTACAGCTATTCTGTGTCAAAAATAAGTCACGAACCATAGTAAGTTTCGGACTAGAGTATGTCTGTAATTCGAATCATTCATATTCTTCAATTATCCCGCCAAAAAAATTATCGTCTTTTTATCATACCATAGTTTTTATCAATCTCGTTCTACTAAAAAACCTTTATATTGGTGATTTCTTTGTTAAACCCGTATTTTTTCATGTGAATCTTATTGTATAAACTCTAAAAGTTCAATTTCCGGTCGAAAAAAACTTGAAAACAATTTGTATTCGACGAGTTAAAGAGCTCTATTTATTCTAAATTTTCCAAAAAAAATTAGATTTCGTTTTTTCGCTTCAAAAAATGTTGTTTTAAGTTTTAAAATTTGTAATTCAAAATTTTTTTGGAAAGATTTACGATTTTTTAATACTGCGAATGAGTTTTATTTTACATACTCTATTGATAAATCATATTTTTGTCGAGATATAACTTTTTTTTAAAAAAATTATATGCAAAGAGTGTTATAGAATTCTAGAAGGTATAGTGCATAATTTGAAGTATACTATCAAATAAAGAAATTTTACAGTTTTTTAGTTTTATTTAGATGTACGTTATTTTAGATGGCTTCGTCGAAAACAAAGCATGTCTGTTAAGTTTATTCTTAACATGGTAAATAAAATGGCAACGAAGCCCAGTGTACTGCGTCTTATGCCGTAGTTTTTGTTATCTTCATACTCAAATACAACAAATACAAATAGATTTATTACGAAAAAACGTATAAAACAAATGATATATTTATTTCTAGACAAGTTGACGAACATGTAGCGCAACTGTATCGCTTTAGAGAACAGTTCTTCCAACACCTACTCATTCAGTGAAAGATTTAAGAAGAACTCTTACTCGACCTTAACTACCTACGCTTTGCTTGAACAATTCCCAACGAGGTTACTATAAGGTTGCAAGTCTTGTCAAAATGTAGTATGCAATACGTTGGGGAAAAATAGATATATACGAACAAACTACTACAGTCTAGCAACTAGTCTTTAAGTGTAATGTATTTTTGCTACAAAGAGCTCATAACGAAGTCAAATTTTGCAATTTGATGTCAAAACTAGCTAGTTGTTGAATCAAATAGCGTTGTGACTTTGTATACATCACGATCTTGTGGTATCAGAGCTGTACTGCTGCAGACTAATTCAACTAAACATGAGCAAGATTGGGATTTCTATTCTCTGGGGTGCGAGGCTCGTCCAAAGTTCAAGCAGCTACAGTGTTTTGGATCACCTAAAGAATTTTGGGAATTCAGTTATCCGTTACTACTCTTAAATTAAAGTAGAGCACTACAGCGAATCAATCGTAATGCCTAGTCTCTCCAGTAACAAGCTGATCTGCTATATTAACTTTAAAGCCAAATCGATTCACATTGTTGCTGGTAAGTCTGATTGCTTCAGATAGAGAGCATGAATTGCTTCTTTATCATCTAATCCCCATCCCCCTTGTTCCCGATTGGATGACATGGACAATTCATCTTTCTCTAACGAAACAAAATGACACTTTTTTGCGGCTTATTGACTCAGAAAAATTTGAGAGTTAACGAATAATTTTGGCGCCAAAAATAATTTCTCTTAATTTATTAAATTTAATATACGCACATCCATAAGTTATGCTATTTTTTCTATTTATTTTGTTCTAAAATTCTAAACATTTTTTTTTCATAACATAAAATATGATGTCTAGTCTCATTTACATAACAACATGCCTTAGAATAGGTTTTTTATTCTTTTTGTCACTTTAAATTAAGAATAAAAAGATAATTTAAATTGAATATTTGCGATTATTCTCACTAATGCTGCTTCCTCTTTTATTAGGTAGACAACAAAAAGTTAGCCTTGGACTCCCATATCAGATTTTTGATTGGTTGCGTATATAATGAGCTGGGATTGATACACGAAAACCCAGTGAGAAAATTTTTGACGCCACGCAAAAAACATCATCATTGTCGCGTTGAAGGCTTTCGTTAGCATTATATAGCTTAATGGACTGTAAAAATGATTAGAACATATGTAAATTTCTATATTGTTTAGATTTCAACAAATTCATTTTGAGATTTAAGGATAACTTTTAACAATTATTGAATAAGATCAACATCATTGAAAACACTCCTTTGCAATAGTACATACGATTTTTTTTTTGAAAACCATATTTCCAAAATTCAATGAAATTGAGATAACTTTAAATTTGGTAGATATAAATTAGCTACATGCGTTTAGTTGATGAATATTGAATCACGCAAAAAGACTTTTGCTATAATAATCGTCTTTCTCACAAATGAATGAGTGGGGTAGGAAAATGAGAGAAAATACTGGTAAATAGAATTGCTCTATATATAAACATATGTTTACTCTATTCACTGAATGATATTGTAATTACTTAAGCATGCTATACGCTTCATAATATTTAAGTGCTCTTGCAACAAGTTTTGGAGTTAACCTATTTGCATCACGAATATTTTTGTTTGCACCGCTGTCTAAGAGTGCTCGTATTATTTCTACTGAATTGCTTTTCACAGCAAGATGAAGTGGAGTGTTTCTATCAGAGTTAACTGCATTAACTATAGCGCCATTATTCAAAAGTAATCTGCAAACATTTACATTTCCTGATGTGCATGCATAATGTAACGCTGTCCAATTGTCTGGAGTTGATATTATAGCTTGAGCACCATTTGCAATCAAGAAAGTACAAATTTTAAAGTTTCCTTTTTCTGCTGCCAACATTAAAGGAGTCAATCCTTCTCCTGTCTGAGCATTGACAAACGCACCATATGTAACAAGCATTTTAGTAGATGTATCATCCTCTTCGGATACACTCCAATGCAATGCTGTCTCTCCATTCTTATTTCTGTCATTAACTTCAGCATCATTTTTAAGAAGTAAATCTACTAATTCGCTATTTTTGATTTTTGCTGCATAAATTAATGGTGTAAAACCATTTTCATTCTGTGTTTGTTTAACTCCTTTACTAAGGAGAAAGCGTGCAACATCAATATGTCCGCCTTTGCAGGCATAATGAAGTGGCGAGTTCTTTCCTTTATCAAGCAAATCTGGAGGAACATCCATTGAAACAAGCCATTCAACAACGAACGAATGGCCTCCTTGTGCAGCATAATGGATTGGTTGCCTACCATGCTTATCGCGTGCAGTTATTGATGCTCCATTCTTGCAAAGCAGTTTTATCCATTCAATATTTCCTAATTCGCATGCAAAATGAAGTGGGGTTACTAATTTACGATCTGTTATAGTTGCATTAGAAGGATATTGAATAAGAGTGTTGAAGCACCTCATTGCATCAAAATACATGGCAATTGAAATTAATGGTGCTCCATTCAACAAAATATTTGGGACATTTTCAAATGATGATATATCCAATTCTATATTTCCTGTTCCTGCTTCAGTAAGAGCAGCCGAAATAAGGCTCGGATCATCATCAATAATGCTAAGGAGTAATTTTTTCTGAGTAAACATTGAAATTTTGAGTCCAAAAGTGACAATTGTAACTATTCAACTTTCTATACCCCAATACAGGTCTTGAAATCTGTTTGGATGATTGTTTTGCCGTGGGCTCATATAAGAGTAGGTATCACTTATTTTGTCAATCAATATGTAAGTTAAAAATTAGATTTGATCTCACAAGTTTGTGTTTATATTGAGTTTCTGCAATCATGAGTAATCCTCTAAGTTCTACAGATTATACAACTACTCTCACATTTTAGTTGGACATATGAAATTTTTCATTTGAAATTCAAGATATGTATTTTAAGAATGGTAAAGGAATTTAAAATTAAATGAACAATTTTAGCATGATTGTCAACTTGTTTGACCTTTTTTCGATGTTTTGAAATTTGTAAAAAAAATCCTATTCAATGGATGGTTTTGTAAGGATAAAATAAGTGGATGCTGAATGTAGATATAATTTTTAATAAATTTTTGCTTAGAACCTATTTTTTTCTCCTCCAAAGTTGATCGGCCAATGATTTCGACGCTTTCTCAGCACGGTGGATTCAGCGGAGTTCGTTATGCTTCTGTATTCACGAACTTCATGGATAACATCGGACGCAATCTCTCTGAAAATCAAGAAGTTACGACATGGATGAACGGATTAAAGAACGATCCACTTGTCAAACTTACAGCCGGTGTAGTAGAAGAAGCTGCATTTTATGGCAAAACAGCTCTTAATGCAGGTACTGCTATTACTAAAGTTGCTGTATGGCCAATTACATACCCATTATCATTTATCATCAAAAAAAATCCATACACTTTGGTTCCTTGCCCATTCCCAGCTGCTCAAGTCTCCTTCGAGGTTGAGTCTAAGGGTGATTTGGTTCTTAGAAAGCAAAACTTAATCGAAAAATTCATTTACAAACTCAAAAACGTTAAAAATGCCGCATCTGTTTCTAAAAATGCATTCATTAGAGTTCCATTCCAAGCATTAGCTAACGCAAGCTCAGTTGTTGTAAGCAAATTAACTCAACCAAGTAAAGAACAGTTAGTACAGATGTCAATTCAAATGTACTACCCAACATTCACAATTTCAGAGTTCAAGCAGTGGATAGAGAAGTCATTCCTCCCTGTTCTCCTTGAAAGATACCTTCGTGGCAACATTAAACAGCTCGAAGAGCTTACATCACAGCAAGTTGCCAAGGAAAGACAATTAGCTGTCGTCCAATTCCTCTCAAACCGTCTCATCATCCGTACAAAACTCCTTTCTATTACAGATGTCGATATTATGGGATTCGACTTTACAAACAGAATGCCATCTATCCTTGTCAGGTGCTCGGCCGATCATACAAACGAAGTCATCACAATGAACTCCGGAACAATCGTTGAAGGCGGTCCACAAGACATTTGCCACACAGACTTCCTTGTTGTCCTTACAATTGATGCATCTAAGGATACACCTCGCTGGATAGCTTCTGAGCTTCGTCCTGATAGCACAAGTAACAGAATTTAATTTATAGAATATATTTATGAATTTTATTTTTAAACTATACATTTTTATTTAACTTTGGTCTTGAGATTTAGTATTTTACCCTCTTTTTACCTAAAATGTTTGAAATTTTTTGAAATTTTTCAATAAAACTTCAATATTAGTACTAATTGGCATGTTTTCAGTGCATACACCTAATAATATTCAAAATTTCTGTGGTGATTTTAGGCAGTAATAAAATAATTAAGATATTTTATTTTGTATCTAAAAAATTGTCATTCAATAAGATGAAAAATTTAAAAGATATTTAATATTTTAATATTCCATAGATAAATCTTTTCTTATGCGCCAATAATAAAAAAAAATCTTCGATTTACTCGAATTTTGGATGGCGCTTCAATATCTCTTTCCACATTTCCATTTTGAGCTCTTCAACAGTAACATCTTGTCTTTCGAAGTCGAATTCCTCGAATGGGAAGCCAACTGGTTCATCGAAAGGATCGTGAAGTTTGACGACGAATGGGTGCTCCAAGGCCTCTTCAACTGTCATTCTTTCGTTCGGATTCCACTTGAGGAGTCTGTCAATAAAGTCGATTTCTTCTGGATTATATGTTTTTCCTTGGAATAACTCCTCCCATGGAACCTTTGTCTGCGGAGGAAGTTGCTGCATAAATCTGTAGGCTTTCTGGTTTGTGCATCCCTCGAGGTCTTTGTCTGTTGGAGAACCAAGAATCTGTGTAATAAGTTCTAACTGGTTACGAGTGGAAGTTCCACGGAAAAGTGGATGGCGAAGAACAAGCTCTGCTGTAATGCAGCCAACGCTCCACATATCCATTGGAGCACCGTATGTATCGTAATTAAGAAGAACTTCTGGAGCACGGTACCATCGGGTAGCGACATATTCTGAAAGGAACTCTTGTGGTTCATCTGGTTCGGAAATACGTGCAAGACCAAAATCTGCAATTTTTAGATCGCAATCTGAGTTCAAAAGTAAGTTGGATGGCTTTAAATCACGGTGAAGAATGTTTGCGGAGTGAAGATATTTAAGTCCACGAAGTAACTGGTAAATAAAATATCTGTGGTGTTCTACAAGGAGTGGTTGTCCACTATTAATAATTTGACACATATCTGTATCCATTAAATCCATCACGATAGCTAATCCTTTGAAGTTTTCGTAATCAGGTAAGCAAGAGATATCAACAAGATTTGTAATATTTTCATGATTAAGTTGTGATAATATTTTGACTTCACGCAAGCAGCGTTTGGCATCAAGAGGTGATTCAAAAACACGATCAACATGTTTGACAGCAACTTCTTTGCCTGTTGCTTTTTCTATGGCGGCAAAAACAACGCCATAAGCACCGCGACCGAGTGTCTTAACGAATTTGTAGCGGCCTTGAGTCTCTTTATTAACAAGATCCTCCGTAATTGGGGGTCTATCCATCTTGTTAAGAATTGTAAATAAATGGAATTTACAATTCCCTTCAATTTTTGCGCAGAATTGAAGATGATAATATCCTCGAAATTAATCTGAAAAATATGCTTCCAATAATGTAGCAATCAAGTTTTCATTGTTAAGCAGATGATAGTAGCATTTTTGAATTTATTGTTTTTATGATTTTGCTAGCCATGCTTTGAAAGCATGCGAAACAATCAAAAAAGATTGTGATTGTATCAGGAAATCAATGAGTGAAACACTTTTCTTATGAATACATGAAAGTTTTAATACAAACAATGTTTATATAATGAACTACAAGATAATATGGTACAATTTTACGTATTTGTACTACTGCACAAATACTGGACGTATGATTTGTGAGTTAAAGAGAAAATAATATTAAAGTATATTAATATTCATCACCTGATGATAACAGATGCAGAATAAGGTAAAGATAAATGCCTATCGGATTGATATTGTGGTTTTCGCATCAAAATTTCTGGATAATCAACATGAATTCAAGAAAATAACAATAACAACATGTATATATTGCAAAAACAGAGTGTGTTCTGTGTAAATTTTAATTTATGAGATCTGAATAATGTCCATAACGTTTCAAAAATCTCTCCAAACTGGGAGATCATTAAATCTTCGATATTTTCTTGAAATGTCTGCTTTTGTTTTACCATTCTTGGAAAATATCGAATTGTTGTCGTATATAGCCTGAAAATTCTTTCCATATTTTTTCAAACCAAGATATAAAGCAACTAATTCTTCATCAGTCCATATGATATCGGTTGTATTCTCGTTTACGCGTTTTGGTTTGATGTATTTCGTTTCAAATTTTATCGGATATTGTGGATTGATTTTATCATGTGCTACATATTCTGAATATGCAGAAAGCGTGTCTCTATATCGAAATTCTTGAGCAGGAAGTGTTTTTGTAAACTCCATAATGGCTTCTTTCGATTTTGACATTTTTCGATTTATGAAAACTGACAAAATATTATTGTGATAACCAAGAAGACTCCTATTTGATAAGCACAATGTCGAGCATTCGAACTCAGTTCGGCTAACTTTTTCAGCACATTCAGCACTCTTAATTTGGATCAATTTTATACTAAAATAAAAAAAAATTGGAAATGAGCAAACTCAAAAAGATATTGTTTACAATTATTTATAGTGCAATGTCTTATATGCTTTTGGAGATGTTAGGTTAGATGTTTTGGATTAAACATCTCGATATAAATGAGAAACAAATCAATTCTCTTCTGTGATTAAGATCTAAAGGGAGATAATGCAATGCTTCAAGCAATGTGTGTCATATAAAAGCAAAATCAATCAGATATAAGGATTTGAAAACCTTTTCAAATATGAATGAAATGTATGGTTATCTGAAGAATGAAATATACTGACTATATCATGTATTTTGATGTGAAGTCTTCTCGAAGTTGAGACACTAATTTTTGTGATATATTTTGCTTAATGTTTTCTAAATCCATATTTTTTGCTACATATTCGATAATAGCAACTACAAATAGTCCACAATCGTATGAATTATCCTGTTGGGGAGATCTTGGTGCGAAGAATTTAAAACTTGAAACTCCGTAATAGTTACAAAGTTGTTTGCAGACGGATTTTGCCATTCTTGTTGCCGTTCCACCTATTGAATCGAAATGATAGAAGAAATTTATTTCATTAGGTGAGAATTGTGTATCCCATATTACTAAACTCCAATGGGATCCTTGATCATTCCCAAATCCACCATCATTAAGTGGTAGGAAGACGTATTTGGAATTAAAAACGTTCCAATATTTGATTATATCTAGAACCATGGATTTATCAATAAATCTTACTAATTCGAGTGTATTTGGTGGATAAAACATGAAGTTTTTATGATTCTCTTCGATTTCTTTTTGATATTTGATTTCGATTTTTCTTCCTGCTAAATAAAGTAGTGTATCATTAATCCACTCGCAACTCTTAAGTCTATCAACATCAGATTCATAAACTGAAATGTTCTCGAATGAATAAATTACCTTTTTCTTGCTCATTTCAAGGTTCTAAAATCAAAAAAGTGACAAAATTTTATAAAATCTATCATGGAATCTATGACAACATGCATCAAGTTTTCAAGTGATGGAAATGCGATTGCAGTTGGCCTTCCACACTCAGCAAATGTCTATAGTACTAATCCATTAAAGAGAATCTATAGTAAAGAATTTGTCAATTTTACAATTAGTAACATTGCATACTCAACAGAAAACAATATATGTGCTGTTTCATGCTATCCTATGGTTGGTGATAAATTAAAACGAAAAATTTATTTAATTAACATACAAACAGGAGCTGTTGACGAAAAACTCGAATTTTACGATGAAATTACGAATATCATAATACTAAAGGACTATATTCTTATTATATTAACCAAAATGATCTGCCTGTATGATTTAAACCTCAATTCTCCGAAATTTAATACAATTACAAGCCAAAATACAAACGGAGCAGGGGATATTATTGTTACTGAACAAGCTCAGAAAATGGCTATTTGTGGATTGAAAGACGGAGATATGAAAATTATGACGATTCAAAAAGAACAAGATCCTATTATTGTCAAAGCGCATCAACACCCAATTACAAATATTAAATTTAACAAAGATGCTACATATATTATTACTTCTGGCCAAACCGGAACGATAATTCATCTTTTTGACGCCAATACAGGATCATTACTTGGTCTTTATCGTCGTGGAACTCTTCCACAAAACATTCTTTCCATTGCTTTTGCTTCTGATAGCAGTAGAATTGCAGCTTTGAGTGCTTCAGGAACCTTGCACATGTTTGACGCTTCTGTGAGGATAACTGATCCTATGGAAAGTCCTCGTGCAGTTGCAACTTTAAAGCTTGATCAATGTCAGCAAGCGAAAATATTATTCAATCATGATCAACTGTTTGTTCTGTTTTCGACAGGGCATATGTATATTTTTAAGTCCACCCATGAGAATATTCTAGAATACTCTTCCAAAGTGTTTGTATTAGCTCATTAATTCTTTCAATAAAATGTCATTTGTTATACAATAACTTTTATTATGAAGATCTGCATTATTTGTTTTTTATCTGTGCGAAACAATCATTCGATTGGCATCAGATGGGCAAAATGTTTGACGCAAAATTGGGTCATTATTGATTTTGTAATTTAATCGTTATCGTCTTTTTCTAAACGTGCATTTTTTGCTTTCGGAGCTATTGAACATACATTGGCCCTTACCAGCAATTGAAAACTATTTTTCATTATCAACAATTACATTACTCCGAGTTATTCATCAATCAATGAAAATCGATATATAGTCCATACTTCAATTTACAATATTGGCAAGTCCAATTTCACTTGGCATATTTAACTCATATAGAAAAACCAGTTGGAATCGGCAAAATTATCTTTAATTCCATACATAAGAAAAAAAAGGCGGAGGTTTTTGTGATATGGAAAAATGTTAGTTGCTCAATTATCTCACTATTGGATGGACTTTTATCGAGCGAAATTTTGGCTGTAAAGACAATTCTGATATTGGTAACATGGTGATAAGAACAAATAGTCAGTTTGCATGGTTTATGATGAGATAATTTCGATTTAAAAAAAATATAAAAATTGATTTTAATGAGCGATTATATTTGAATATGCTCTCCTAATTTGAAGGAACTGGTTAAATCATGAATTGATCATGAATAATTTTTTTTCAAAATAACAATTATAATTTCATATTCATTATAAGTTGAAAATATATCATAAAGACTTTATGAATGATAAATTCCTAAAAAACAAGTTAGTTTGTTTCTGAAAATAATAATAATAAAAACCAATTTAGACCCAATAATTTTTGGCGGGATAATTGAGATGTTACGATTGAATTAAAAAAAAAAGCGGTAATACATTTTTACAATGATGAAGAGGCTGGCAACCTCTGAGTCAAAGCACTTGTTAATGCAATGATGAAGAGGCTGGCAACCTCTGAGTCAAAGCACTTGTTAATGCAATGATGAAGAGGCTGGCAACCTCTGAGTCAAAGCACTTGTTAATGCAATGATGAAGAGGCTGGCAACCTCTGAGTCAAAGCACTTGTTAATGCAATGATGAAGAGGCTGGCAACCTCTGAGTCAAAGCACTTGTTAATGCAATGATGAAGAGGCTGGCAACCTCTGAGTCAAAGCACTTGTTAATGCAATGATGAAGAGGCTGGCAACCTCTGAGTCAAAGCACTTGTTAATGCAATGATGAAGAGGCTGGCAACATCTGAGTTAAAATACTTTTCCAGTGTGGGAGTAATTTGAAAAAAAAAAATTTAGTTCATATATTGAAAAAAACAAAAGTAAAAATTAAAGTTTATAGGTTGTGTTTTGATGAGCTAATTGTTTAAGATATTGTAGTTCTAAAGAAAATTGGAGTTTCGAGAAAGTTTCTCGACAGAGGAAACTTTCATATCGAATGTTGCCTCTGTCGAGATGTATGTGACAGGCAAAGTGCAATCACCTATCAATATTGCACTTTGCCTGTCAAAAGTTCTTCGCATCTCTTGAGGTGTGAGGAAGTTTCTCGACAGAGGAAACTTTCATATCGAATGTTGCCTCTGTCGAGATGTATGTGACAGGCAAAGTGCAATCACCTATCAATATTGCACTTTGCCTGTCAAAAGTTCTTCGCATCTCTTGAGGTGTGAGGAAGTTTCTCGACAGAGGAAACTTTCATATCGAATGTTGCCTCTGTCGAGATGTATGTGACAGGCAAAGTGCAATCACCTATCAATATTGCACTTTGCCTGTCAAAAGTTCTTCGCATCTCTTGAGGTGTGAGGAAGTTTCTCGACAGAGGAAACTTTCATATCGAATGTTGCCTCTGTCGAGATGTATGTGACAGGCAAAGTGCAATCACCTATCAATATTGCACTTTGCCTGTCAAAAGTTCTTCGCATCTCTTGAGGTGTGAGGAAGTTTCTCGACAGAGGAAACTTTCATATCGAATGTTGCCTCTGTCGAGATGTATGTGACAGGCAAAGTGCAATCACCTATCAATATTGCACTTTGCCTGTCAAAAGTTCTTCGCATCTCTTGAGGTGTGAGGAAGTTTCTCGACAGAGGAAACTTTCATATCGAATGTTGCCTCTGTCGAGATGTATGTGACAGGCAAAGTGCAATCACCTATCAATATTGCACTTTGCCTGTCAAAAGTTCTTCGCATCTCTTGAGGTGTGAGGAAGTTTCTCGACAGAGGAAACTTTCATATCGAATGTTGCCTCTGTCGAGATGTATGTGACAGGCAAAGTGCAATCACCTATCAATATTGCACTTTGCCTGTCAAAAGTTCTTCGCATCTCTTGAGGTGTGAGGAAGTTTCTCGACAGAGGAAACTTTCATATCGAATGTTGCCTCTGTCGAGATGTATGTGACAGGCAAAGTGCAATCACCTATCAATATTGCACTTTGCCTGTCAAAAGTTCTTCGCATCTCTTGAGGTGTGAGGAAGTTTCTCGACAGAGGAAACTTTCATATCGAATGTTGCCTCTGTCGAGATGTATGTGACAGGCAAAGTGCAATCACCTATCAATATTGCACTTTGCCTGTCAAAAGTTCTTCGCATCTCTTGAGGTGTGAGGAAGTTTCTCGACAGAGGAAACTTTCATATCGAATGTTGCCTCTGTCGAGATGTATGTGACAGGCAAAGTGCAATCACCTATCAATATTGCACTTTGCCTGTCAAAAGTTCTTCGCATCTCTTGAGGTGTGAGGAAGTTTCTCGACAGAGGAAACTTTCATATCGAATGTTGCCTCTGTCGAGATGTATGTGACAGGCAAAGTGCAATCACCTATCAATATTGCACTTTGCCTGTCAAAAGTTCTTCGCATCTCTTGAGGTGTGAGGAAGTTTCTCGACAGAGGAAACTTTCATATCGAATGTTGCCTCTGTCGAGATGTATGTGACAGGCAAAGTGCAATCACCTATCAATATTGCACTTTGCCTGTCAAAAGTTCTTCGCATCTCTTGAGGTGTGAGGAAGTTTCTCGACAGAGGAAACTTTCATATCGAATGTTGCCTCTGTCGAGATGTATGTGACAGGCAAAGTGCAATATTGATAGGTGATTGCACTTTGCCTGTCACATACATCTCGACAGAGGCAACATTCGATATGAAAGTTTCCTCTGTCGAGAAACTTCCTCACACCTCAAGAGATGCGAAGAACTTTTGACAGGCAAAGTGCAATATTGATAGGTGATTGCACTTTGCCTGTCACATACATCTCGACAGAGGCAACATTCGATATGAAAGTTTCCTCTGTCGAGAAACTTCCTCACACCTCAAGAGATGCGAAGAACTTTTGACAGGCAAAGTGCAATATTGATAGGTGATTGCACTTTGCCTCTCCAAACTCTCAAATATGCTTCTCACCATACATCAAACGGGCAAATTTCTCCTTAAATTTCTCTTTATTTGAAAGGTTTTCAACAAAGCTATACCTTAAAAATCTGTGCTTGTTATATCTGATCATTTGTGTGTTAGGGGAGGTAAATTTATTCCACTAGAGCAAATTTTTTCCGAGGTTTCTCATCGAATGAGAAACCTCGGAACAACTCTTCAATAGTGTAATGAATTTGTGGTATTTGTCCTGCAAACAGCGAGAGAACTTGTCTGTAATTCGTTTATGATGAAGTTATCTGGATGTCTCTCAGATGAGGAAGGAAGTCCAGAAAACTTCACCATAAGTTAATACTTGTGTATTTCTATGACTCTCTTCACGTCAGAGAATGTAAATTTACTCGAATAGGGCAAAGTTCTGCTCAAGTTTCTCATTTGATGAGAAACCTCGGAAGAACTTTGCCCTAAGGTAATGTATATGTGATTGTTGGCCCGCAGAGAAACAAGGAATCTGTTTGTATTTCGTTTATGGTGAAGTTCTCGGATGTTCTCTCAAATTATATGGAAAATCAAGATAACTTCACCATAATTTGTTGTAGTTGTGATTCTCTGGCTCTTTGCCGGCCAGAAAACTAGAAAATAGTTTATAGTGGGAGTATGCTCGATGAATACCTACTCACTAAAAATATACGTTATTTTTTGTTTTCCTATGGGAAAATAGTTTTGATTTTTATACTATCGTATGCTTTGTTATTGCATGAATTGTCTATTTTCTTAATAAAAACTCATTTTTCCGTGTGATTCTGAATCAATGCATTCCAAAAAAGCGTTTTCCGCCTTTGAAACGTGAAAACACACATTGCATGAAGAATCAGAGAAGATTTTCTAACTCGAAGAATTCCAAAAAAAAACCAATTATAGTTTTTTTATCGTGAAAAATTTACTTTTTAACTACGAAATTTTTAAAACGCGATTTTTTTGGAGATTTTTAGAAAATTCAAATATGATAGGCATGTGTTATTTTATGTGCTCTATGAGTTTATCAGCTTAATTTGGAGTTATTATCAAATTTCAATAAGTCTAAAAAATTGAAAGATAGAAAATCTTCTCTGATTCTTCATGCAATGTGTTTTTCACGTTTCAAAGGCGGAAAACGCTTTTTTGGAATGCATTGATTCAGAATCACACGGAAAAAATGAGTTTTTATTAAGAAAATAGACAATTCATGCAATAACAAAGCATACGATAGTATAAAAATCAAAACTATTTTCCCATAGGAAAACAAAAAATAACGTATATTTTTAGTGAGTAGGTATTCATCGAGCATACTCCCACTATAAACTATTTTCTAGTTTTCTGGCCGGCAAAGAGCCAGAGAATCACAACTACAACAAATTATGGTGAAGTTATCTTGATTTTCCATATAATTTGAGAGAACATCCGAGAACTTCACCATAAACGAAATACAAACAGATTCCTTGTTTCTCTGCGGGCCAACAATCACATATACATTACCTTAGGGCAAAGTTCTTCCGAGGTTTCTCATCAAATGAGAAACTTGAGCAGAACTTTGCCCTATTCGAGTAAATTTACATTCTCTGACGTGAAGAGAGTCATAGAAATACACAAGTATTAACTTATGGTGAAGTTTTCTGGACTTCCTTCCTCATCTGAGAGACATCCAGATAACTTCATCATAAACGAATTACAGACAAGTTCTCGCTGCTTTTGCAGGACAAATACCACAAATTCATTACACTATTGAAGAGTTGTTCCGAGGTTTCTCATTCGATGAGAAACCTCGGAAAAAATTTGCTCTAGTGGAATAAATTTACCTCCCCTAACACACAAATGATCAGATATAACAAGCACAGATTTTTAAGGTATAGCTTTGTTGAAAACCTTTCAACGAATGAGAAAGTTAGGAAAAACTCTACCTTATAAGATCAACTATAGAATTCATAGCTCTTTGAATACTAGGAAACATTAATGCAGTAGTTTAAGGCAAAGTTTTTCCGAGATCTACGAAGGATAGAGAGATCTCGGAAGAACTTTGCTCTGCACAAGTAATTTCAGAATCTATGGTCCTCTAAGGACCAGAGGACGGTAATGTAAAAGAATGATGTCAATAGCAGATAAATAATAGCCTTAGAAGTTCAATACGTGCACAGTTTGACTACATTGCCCTAGTAGTTAGACTGTACAGGTATTGTACTTCTGGCCTAAAAAATCCTCATTGAAGACAATAGGTAGAAACTCAAATTGTTGATAAATATCCCAAAATATCATAAGAGAGCCCATTATTGTTACCTGGCTCCTTCCTGGCTTTCAAAGTCTGTAAACGAGAAGTCTTGGCTCTTGTGGTAATTGCTTCCAAGAGGTTTACTCAATTCGAGTAAAACTATAAACCCTGTAACTGACATGTACTTCCTTGAATGGGCATTAAAAGTAATTTAACCTAACGAATAGTAACATGACTCTCGTAAACGAAAAAGAGAATTTGACGCAGTCAAATCCTCTCTCTCAAAAAGTGGACTTTACATGGCAAATTTCAAATGCATGTAAGGTCCACTTTGATCAGTTTCAGGATGGAATTGGAGGCCATGAGGTACTGACATTGCATCAGTATCTCATAGCCTCCAATCCCTTCAAAAAATGGGAGAAACTTTGGTCGAATAATTTAACATTCGGCCAAAGTTTCTCCCATAATTAATGAGAATGAAAGGGTAAGAGGCATATAGGGTCACTATATACCTCTTACCCTTTCATTTTCATTTGGAGGTCAACAAACCCGGAGTTAATTGCAAACAATTAACTCCAAATTTGTTTATGTTAAGGAAGGAATTGGAGGGTAAGAGGTACATAGTATGAATATGTACCTCTTACCCTGCAATTCCTTCTAGAAATTCCAAAACTTTGGGTTAATTGCAAACTATTAACCCAAAGTTTTGGAACTTTCAAGTGGAGATGGAAGACTTTGGGGTATATATTAATATAATATACCTCAAAGCCTTCCATCTCCACTACAAATGTGAGAAACTTTGTCCGAATAGTTTAACATTCGGACAAAGTTTCTCCCATCTTTCAATGTAATTGCTACCTGTGAGGTACTGACTTGAAGTCAGTGCTTCACAGGTAGCAATATCCAAAAATTTAAAAACATTTTATCAGTTCGTTAGAGAACTAGAGCCTCCTAGGTACTGAACCAGAATCAGTGCCTAGGGGACTCTAGCGATCTATATAAATCTGAGAAACTTTGAGGAAATTGTTCGACATTTCCTCAAAGTTTCTCAGCAATTTAGCGAGGAATGTTCGTTATCGTGTAGATATTTATAATATATACATGATAACAAACATTCCCCGCTAAAAGATGTAAAATCTTATAAGAAATAATTGCAAAAGAATAACAAATTGCAACAAATTTTATATGAAACTGAACCTTATGAGGTAGTGATTCAAGATCACCGCCTCATAAGATTCAGTTTCAATCTCAAGTATCTCAAAAGTAAGGCTCTATTTTTTGCCATGTAAAGTATCACTTTACTGTCAAGCCGTTTTTATCGTTTTCGTTTACAACATGACCACTATTTTGATGACTAAGAAATGTAATTCATCAAATTGGCAGTTCGATGAATAATACCATGCAATCAACAACTGGTTTGTTACAATTTGGCTTGATTCATCAAATTGGCGGTTTGATGAACCGAATATTGTAATCCAGACTAGGTCAGTTACAATTTGGCTTGATTCATCAAATTGGCGGTTTGATGAACCGAATATTGTAATCCAGACTAGGTCAGTTACAATTTGGCTTGATTCATCAAATTGGCGGTTTGATGAACCGAATATTGTAATCCAGACTAGGTCAGTTGCTTGTTGGTCATAGATAATAATGACACCTTTCAGTTTTTGTTAAACATCTCAATTATCCCGCCAAAAATTATTGGGTCTAAATTGGTTTTTATTATTATTATTTTCAGAAACAAACTAACTTGTTTTTTAGGAATTTATCATTCATAAAGTCTTTATGATATATTTTCAACTTATAATGAATATGAAATTATAATTGTTATTTTGAAAAAAAATTATTCATGATCAATTCATGATTTAACCAGTTCCTTCAAGAGTAGGTGACAAAAGTGCATACTCTTAAATTAACCTTAAATGTTGAGAGTAGGTGCCAAAAGTGCTTACTCTTAAACAACCCTCGGATTTCCGGGTGCAATCGTGACACACTTTCGTCTTTCGTAGGCAGTGGTGGTTGTTACAAAAGGTAACTTCGAATGTAGCGTGAAATCTGCAAAAAAAATTCTGAAATTTGAATGGAGAACACAAAAATTGAATAGTTTACGTCAATAAAAAAGAGAAAAATGAAGCCAATGTGTCTCGAACCTAGGACTTAGAGCAACAATCCCACTGTTTATAACATTACACTACATGCATCTCTCACATCAGTGAATGAGATCAACTATATGATAACTTTTTCCCCATTATATTCTTGTGGAAAAGTGACAAATAGCAACTTTGACCCTCTCTCGTTCCTTCAAATTAGGAGAGCATATTCAAATATAATCGCTCATTAAAATCAATTTTTATATTTTTTTTTAAATCGAAATTATCTCATCATAAACCATGCAAACTGACTATTTGTTCTTATCACCATGTTACCAATATCAGAATTGTCTTTACAGCCAAAATTTCGCTCGATAAAAGTCCATCCAATAGTGAGATAATTGAGCAACTAACATTTTTCCATATCACAAAAAACCTCCCCATGGAATTGTCTCAATTTTTTGAGATATTCATTTCTGAAAAAAAATTATCATCGAAATGGAATATATGCATTCTATAGAAGAATAAATGTGATAAAATTGTTTTCTCAAAAAAATTGAAGCTCATGATATTATTCTTACATCTCATAGTATATTAATAAAATATTTTTAATTATTTTTGTTTGAGACGATTATTTTGAATCATGAGTCAAATCTAAAATTGCTAGGTTTTATTCAATTCTTAATACACATTCTAGATTTATTTTACAATATTTTGCAACGTAAACTTTACAATTAATCAAAATCTATCGCAACATTCAAAATTTCTAAAATGTCGCGCTTGCTTCCACCTCTGGGATTTAAAGAACTAGAAATGAGAAAAACCGGGTGGGAGCGTAGAGGATCACTTCCCGTTGCTCCGACCACTCAGCTTTCCAAGACAGCAAATGTTACTGCCCGTCAACATTCTTTTAAAATGTCTGTGAAAACATTCAAAGATAAAATGATTCCACTACCAAAGACGAATATGTTCAAAGAAAAGATTGGTACATTAACTACTCGTTCAGAGTCAATCCCTGAAGATTTAAATCTAACATCACACACAGTGACCATCCAAATACATTCGAATCACGGAAATCAAACTAAGATCACTTGTTCCAGAATAGATATACTCGATATTAATTCGCAACCTATAAAATTAGAACAATACCTAATTGAACCAAATCGTATCAATTCGCCAGATTTGATAAATTTGTTTTCAGGCGAACTCGTTAAGAAATCTGAATTTCAGATATGGTCTGCGGAATGGCCTCCGAAAGGAAATATGATTGAAATTCGAGTTACTCTTTAAAAAGGACCGGAAGCAGCATTTATCCGGCATTGGCCAGATATGAAAACACTGGATGCTAATATGAAAGATATTGTTGTATTACAAGATGATATACCGGTATATAAAGGTACATTAAATGTTACAACTGGACATATTTTGAACATTAAGAAACCAGATAACGATGAAAATGCTCCTCATGATGTTGAAAAGCTTATCGAGCCTACTTTTGTAACTGATAATTACGGAATCATTCCATTTTTCAGAAGAACAAAGAAAGTTTCAATTAAAATTTGGTCGTCCTACAACAATTCCCCGAAGTGGGGTGTTTCTCACTTCAAACTTTTCGATTATCAAGGCAAAGAATTTGATTATCATCAAGGTATTACAATTCGAGTCGAAAATTCCGGTATTCTTGAGTCAATCGATTTGTTTAATAAGGATAATATTACTCAAGGCGATCTAAATCCAGGAACAGAAATTACCTTTAATTTTGAAAACTCTGTACATATCGGCGCAATGCTTATTTACAATTATTATGATGCCAATATAAAGGCGAACTATGGCATTTGTCACTGTTCTATTTATTTTAATCAACAACTTCAATGGGTTGGTAAGATTCCAATGAGAGTTTTCAATCAAGAGAAGTGGAAGCCAACAGATCCAATGCCAATATTCTTCGTTGACGGAGAAGGTCTTCAAGATAGAGTTTACGGTCAATTCTAATTTTATCATATATTTTGTTATGAATTTTACTACATATTTTGTTTGTTAAGTCTAATAAAAGTTATATATTTAATGATTAGTAATGCAATGTTTAATGAATAAGAATAAATCTTTCAAATTCAAACTCGCAAAGCTTTATTTAAGATACTGATATGATTTTACAATGTGGCATATTAAATTTAATAGCATCAATCAAATTTGCCATGTTAGATCAATATTGATATCAATATCCATCTTTCCTAGGGGAAAAAATATTTGGAGTCCATAATGCAGGCATTACTCGCGGGTTTAGCACATATGAAACAACTTCATTGCAATAGCAAAAACTTTCAAAAAAAGGGCCGAGTGGAGAATAATGTCACTTTTATAAATGCGTGGATACAATTTGAGTGACCAATTTCCCACAAATTAGTTAATATTCCTTCAGGTAATACTAATTATGGTTTCCAAAATTTAACGATAGAATTTGGAATATCCGAAATTTTTTTGCAAGTGTCTAAATTCAAATACTTATTGATAGAAAAGCGATGATGTGTTACTTTTTGAGTACAAATTTGAATTGCAATTCAATATTATTGCAAACTAGAAATTAGATACCATAATAGACGCTTATGTCCACATAAGATTTTAAGATTCGTGAGGAAATTTTCAATATAGTTTTTCAATATCAGAAAAAATGACGCGAAAGCGCGTCATAGTTGCATGATGTTTGGATTTCTGGTTTCCCTGAGTTTTTCTCAGGTCTATGAAGGCAGACAAAATTCAGCGATTAAACTTACAGCTGATCAAGAATATAATTTCCTTGAATGCCAATTCATTGAACTCGGAAGCGAATCAACAGAAAGTTCTCTATATCTTACAGGCGGATCAAGCAATCCATCAGTATTCATACTTGCAACTACGTTTTACAAATGCTTATCCAAGCAAGGTGGCTCAATGTCACTTTATGGAACAATGAATCTTCATATTTTGCTTTGTTGCATATCAGAATGTCAAGTTCCTTCCTCAAATATTGGTGCAATTGCACATGTTGAACTGAAACAGTCAAATCCGACCATTGAGTACGTTACTGCATCGCAATGTAGTAAAGGCCAATACAGTTTTAATCTCTTAACAAGTCCAATTCTTAAGAATGCCAATCTCTCAAAAAATGCACCTGATCATTCAACTGCATATGGTGTAATTTATATGGACAATAATGATAAAGAATTTTCATATGGCTACAAAATGTGTAACTTTATAGAAAACACAAGCCCATATTCAATTAATTATTTCTATCACACTCATACATTCACAATCGAACATTCAAATTACATTAAAAACAATGTGGCAAGTTATTCAATTGTTTACGCAAAATATAACTGGGAATTTACCATTACTAATTGTATTTTTGCAGACAATATTCATGACAACTCATATCTTGTTGAAAGGCACTGGACATTATCATCATATAAAGTAACAGTTAAAAACTGTCAAATTAGAGACACAAGTAGTAAACTATTCAGCTATGTAGAAACGCAATCTATTTCATCTAGTGTCGATGATATTGATTTATACACCTATTACGCAACAATTCTTTGCCATGCTGAAGTTCCATATCCAAGAAGATCTCAAACTTTCATGGAAACACCGATGAATACTTTTGCTGAAACTCCTTTTGTTACTGCTATTCAAACACCTGCAAATACTGCAGCAGTTACACCGAATGAAACGCCATTTGGAACACCATATGTTACAAACTATGAAACCCCATTCTCAACAATGGAATCAACACCACTTTTAACTGATTTCGAAACACCTTATCATACACCAGAGTTTACACCTCTTGTAACACCTTATTCAACAATGGAGAAAACTGCAGCTTTCACTCCGTTCGAAACAGCATATTTAACACCATGGAATACACCTTTTATTACAGATTTTGAGACACCAGTAATTACTCCTTTTGAAACAGAATTCGAAACACCTTATTTAACTGAATTTGAAACGCCATATTTAACTGAATTCGAAACGCCATATTTGACTGAATTCGAAACACCATATTTAACTGGATTCCAATCCCAGTTATAACTCCTTATTTAACAGAATTTGAGACTCCATATTTAACAGAATTTGAAACTCCTTATTTAACAGAATTCCAATCTCCAGTTATAACTCCTTATCTAACAGAATTCGAAACTCCATATTTGACTGAATCAGAAACGCCTTTCAACACAGCTTTTGAAACTACATTTACAACACCATATGGAACAGAATTCGAAACTCCTTATTTAACAGAATCAGAAACACCTGTCATGACAGAATTTGAAACTCCAATGTATTCTCCTTTAGAAACTGTTTTTGAAACTCCTTATTTAACTGAATCTGAAACACCTTATTTAACTGAGTTTGAAACTCCATTTGATACTCCATACATCACAGATGTCGATGCACCATTTAGAACAATGGATGAAACACCATTTGAAACTGAGTATGAGACTCCTTACTTAACTGAAGCAGAAACACCTGTTAATACTCCTTATTTAACTGAATTTGAAACCCCATATTTAACTGAATATGAAACTCCTTATTTAACTGAAGCAGAAACACCATTCTTAACCGAGTTTGAAACTCCATACTTAACAGAATCAGAAACTCCTTTTGAAACGGTATTTGAAACCTTTGCACAGACTCCTGTCGAAACGGTTGAAGGACAACCTGATGCAACAAATGCAGAAACAGCATATGAAACTCCTTTTGAAACTGCTGTTGATACTCCAGTTATTACACCATTCGAATCAGTATTTGAAACTGCATTTGAGACAATGCATCAAACTCCATTTGAAACAGTTTTCGAAACAGCATTTGAAACTCCATTCGAAACAAACTATGAAACACCTTTTGTTACTCCTTCAGAATCAGAACCCAGTACAGAAGAACCATTCGAAACACCACTTGAGACAGCATTCCAAACAGCATTTGAAACTCCAATTGAAACGGTATTTGAAACAATGCATTCAACACCTTTCATCACTGCTTTTGAAACAGTTTTCGAAACAGCATTTGAAACTCCATTCGAAACAAACTATGAAACACCTTTTGTTACTCCTTCAGAATCAGAACCCAGTACAGAAGAACCATTCGAAACACCACTTGAGACAGCATTCCAAACAGCATTTGAAACTCCAATTGAAACGGTATTTGAAACAATGCATTCAACACCTTTCATCACTGCTTTTGAAACAGTTTTCGAAACAGCATTTGAAACTCCATTCGAAACAAACTATGAAACACCTTTTGTTACTCCTTCAGAATCAGAACCCAGTACAGAAGAACCATTCGAAACACCACTTGAGACAGCATTCCAAACAGCATTTGAAACTCCAATTGAAACGGTATTTGAAACAATGCATTCAACACCTTTCATCACTGCTTTTGAAACAGTTTTCGAAACAGCATTTGAAACTCCATTCGAAACAAACTATGAAACACCTTTTGTTACTCCTTCTGAAAGTAGTATTGACAATCCTTCAGAACCAAGTACAGAAATTCCATTCGAAACTCCATTTGAATCAGCATTTCAAACCGCATTTGAAACTCCATTTATTACTGAGCATGTAACACCAAATGAAACTCCATTTATTACTCAGCACGAAACTCCAGTTGGAACACCTTTCGAAACAATGTATTTGACACCATTTGAAACATTTGCTATAACTCCTAGTGAAACGGCAGAAATAATTGTAATACCACCAGGAGAAAATCAAACATCAGAATCATCAAATCTAGAAGAATCATCAACAAAATCATCAAATCCAGAAAATCCAACATCAGAACCATCAAATCCAGAAAATTCAACACCAGAACCATCAAAGCCGGAAGAATCAAGTTCGAGTAAAGATGAAACAAGCGAATCACAAGATACCACTAAAACATCATCTAGTAAGAGTAGTTGGGTATATATAGTTGTTGGAGTTGTTTTGGTTATTGCAATTGTTGTTGGTGTTGCTGTTTTCTTAGTTTTAAGAAATAGAAAGAGTGATCCTGTTCAATTCTCATCTGATACAGCAGAAATTGAAAATGATCAACCAGAAACTCAAATTATTACTACAAATACAACCGGAGAAGAATTGGAAACACAAATTGATTACAATACAAATATGTTCCGTACAGAAACAGATGATATTTTCCAGCCTGGTGAAAACAATGATGAAGAGCCAGAAGAAAATGTAATATACTTATAATTTCACTCACATTTACTTGTGTATTGATAGATATTGTAAAGCGATTTATATTTAATTTATATTTCCGTTTATATTCAATTTTTGTGATAATTTGAGAATATATACGGATATAATTTTGAATATTCTTAATTCTTATACTTTTGTTTATGTATCTCCTCAAACCATACCATACTTATCTATTCGAAGACAATTATACATTTGAAACATTTGAAATAAAGCAAGTTTTCCAAATGATATAATTATATATAGTCAGAAGCCATGGTCAATGCCATGCATCATATGTAACCTATATTAGTGAAATTTATTGGTGTTATTGATATATTTTATGATATTAAAGATTTCAAACATAATTTATTCGAGAATTCTTACATTTTGTAGTTGATAGGATAAAATGAAAGATTAAACCTCATATTTTGATATAATCATTCATTATTTCAGAATGTTTTCTTTTCTTCAATTAGCTAGTGCTATTCAACAATCGAATAAAATCGAACAGTTAAACTATAGAATGTTTAAAAAGATGGTACTTAACAGAACTAGTGATCAAACATGGGTTGTTTTCTTTTATGATGAATCAAATAAACAATCAAATATAGATTATCAAGAATTTATTAAAGTTGCACATTCTTCATTAGATGCAATTCATTTTGGTTCTGTTGATGTAAAGAAAAATGTCCAATTATGTGAAGATCTTGGAGTATATCCAGAATCAATTCCGAAAATTATGATTTATCATCATAATGGACAAACTGAATACATTGGAAGTAAGAAATCAGAAAAGATGTCCATGAAATTACTCAATTATATTCCAATATTAACGAAATCTGTTTCTATGAATTGGAAAACGCCACGTGGAACAAACAAATATGCAATCCTATTTGGAGAAAACGAAACCGTACCTTCATTTTGGAATGCTCTCGCAGGAATGTTCATTAAATCTTCAATCAAAATCGGATACACATGCAATGAAACAATTTTCGATCATTTTGATGTGATGACTGTTCCTTCGATAGTTTTTGTCAATTCTACAGATATTTATCAATATCATGGAAAAGCAAACCTCAAATCACTTAAACAAGCAATCAGCGATTTCAATGCAAGACAATATTCCCCAGTGAAAGTTGAAACTCCAGAAAATGAGTTTTATTTCTCAGATGAATTTGAGAAATATTGTTTAGGTCAAAGAGCTTACTGTGTCGTCCATGCCACAGAGTTTCTCGATCAAAGACTTGAAAAAATACGTGCAAAAACTGAGAGTTCTCGCTTTAATTGGTTTTATGGATTTGATGACTGGCCTTATGAGTTCATCAAACCAAAATCACTTTGGTTATTTAATCCTAGATCTAAAAGTGCTCTGAAACTTTCATCACTTGACGAACTTGAGCAAATTCTCACAAAAATATTAAATAAGGAACTTCCTGAGTTCAAACCAATATCAGAATTTGAAAAGTCTAATAGCGAGTTGTAAATATTTTATATTAATTGTTTTCAAATCTTTATGATTTCAAATTGTAAATTTATCTTTTTTAATAACCAAAACTATATCATTTTTAAATTAGCATACTTAATTACAAACGAATCATAACATGATCGTATGAATATTTAAATTCCCAAATCAAATATTGAACAAAAATTCATAGCATAGCAGTCCGCAATAATAAAATAACTTTTTTGTAAAGATATGACTAAAATTGTCAAGTATGAACAGCTCGTATTATGATTATTCAATAATTCAATCAAATGAATTGCCGTTATGATGCTCATGCACACAAATATTAATGTGAAGACTGTCAATCGAATGATGGAGTGCGTTTTGTTCGATGTTATCAAATAAACGTTTTGCTCAATGATATAAAAAGATAAATTGTAAATCAAAAAAAAGTTTACAAAAAAATGGAAAGTAAAGAAGAGGCAAAGGAAACTGTAGAGAAAGTAGTTGATGCCATATTTGGCAAAGATGAAGAAAAACCGGAAAACAAAGTGCCTGCAAACGATGGTAATCCAGAAACTGAAAAAAACGAAGATGAAACACAAAATAACCAATCAGAAGTTCCTGCTAGCCAAAATGATGAAAAACCGCCGCCAAACCAGCAAGAAATTCGTGAACAACAGTTAAATGAGCAAATTGCTCAACTAGAAGAACAAAATAAAATTTTCGAAGCTGAACTTGCACAAAAGAAAGCACTGATACAAAATGTTTCCTCAATATTCTATAAATTAATCAGTAGTGGCGTTGATTTAACGCGTTATCCAGAAGTTGAGTATGATCTTTTAGAACAACGTCTTGGATCTCCTGTTTTACCTCGCGATCTTCAATTAGAGCAAAACTTAGATCCAATAGTCTATAAAATAGTTAAAGAAGACCCATATTTCGAGGATGTTTTGTCAAATAACGAATTTATTGATAAATGCATCAAATTATACGATGAACATCAGCAATCAAAGAGTGAACTAATGGAGACGCAATCCAAGAGCCAAATTCATCAATCGTCTACTTCTTCAATTTCTACGTCACCTACAAAAGCCAAGACAGTTATACAGGGAAGTACAAAAGAGTCTGATCAGCAGGTTAATTTTGCACGTGATTTGAACGCTTTACTCGATATTAAATTTAAATTAATTGACCAAATCACTGAAATTAAGAAAGCAAGAAAGGAACGCCTTGAGAAAGAGAAAGAAGCCGAAAAATCAAAGACAAGAAAAGTAATTCAGCTTAAGATTCATAATTCGACGTCTTCTATCGAATAATTTATATTTAACTATATATTTTCTATCTTCTTGTTGTTATTAAACTATGTCCCTAAGATATCTTTTCCAATTATCATTTTTTTTTGCCAATAATCAAATTTATATTTTTATTTATTTGAATTGTGTAGGATTTAATAGTTTGGTCTATTTTGCATCTTACTCAAGTGTAAAAATATTCATCCATTTCCCTAAGAATGTTTGGATAAAATCTCGATTATTTTAAAAACTTTGATATTTTGTCATAAAATGTATGTAAAATTTGTAGTATTTTAGTTGGTTATCTTATATTTTTAGTTTCGTGATACTTAACTTTTCACCGCAATGGATTTGAAGAAAAAAAGTTTTTTATTTTGTCAATGCAATACCTCAATATCTTTAACGGAACTGTTTATCCACAAGCATTTCATAAGCCTATTAGTACTGATATTGAAAGATTAGTACAGCGCTATAACACACTTGTTCCACGTCAATTCCAATCTCCTCAAGGAAATTTAGTTGCAATATCAGGATATCTAGCAATTCCAATCAATAACATGCCAATGAATATAACGCTTGATATTACTCTTGTTCCAAGATTCCCACAAGACGCTCCATTTGTTTCATTAAGAATGCAGCCCAATGAAATTAGACCATCGCAAGCAGTAGCTCCTACTGGTGTAGTAAATCTCATGATGATTCATCAATGGGTATTTAAGCAATCTACCTTAGTTAAACTTGTTGATGACTTGTACAGATACTTTTTAGCAAATCCACCATTAAATTCTGCTCCTGCTGGATACCCAGCACCTTATGGTAACCAGGGCTATCCACAACAAGGATATCCAAATCGTCCTCCACAAAATTATGGAAATCCACAACAACAACAGTACCCTCAACAGTATCCACCACAATACCAGCAACATCCACAACAATATCAGCAGCCTCAAGCTTACGCTCAGCCACAAGCAGCTCCTGCAGCAAATCCACAGGAAATTGAAGCTAAATTTGCCGAAGATCAAAAGGCATACCAAAAGAAATTAGATAAACTTAGAAGTCAATACCATGATCACCAAATGGTATTCGATTCTCTTATTGAAGAAACTCAGAAGTTAGCGAGAAAGCACTTTACAAGCTCAGTTTCACAGAAGCTTAAATCTTATCCTCAAAAATAATGTTAAATATCAATTTTCGTTTTTTTATAGTTAAATCTATTATTTTTAAAGAACCAAATCATGATAATCATTCACTACATGTCTTTTCAAGAAGTTGTTTCATCAAATCATCTTGATTTTCTTAAATAAATTCTATAAAATAAAAATTATTGAAAGAAAGTTTTATTGGAAACTAACAATTTTATAAATCTAAGACCATTATATTATAGAGTTATCGGTTACAATATGAGAAAAAGAGAATTATATTTGTTTTTCGGCAATGACAGTGAATTCTTCTGGAATTTCGGTTTTTCCTTTAGTTATTACTGCTATAGCATCGTAGCCACCTGCACCAGGTGGAATTGCAGTGATATAATTTGGAATTTTCTCAAATTTAGAAATTAATTCTCTAATTTCCATTGGAAGAATTGGAACTTTCCATTCATCAGTAATTCTTGCTTGAATCTTCCTTAATTCTGCAAATTTGATTTTAATTTGTTCAATATCTCCACTCTGAAGTGCATCGCAAGCCAAAGTATTTGCTTTGATTAGTTCTTCGTATAATGGAGTATCCTTTGGATCTGATTTGTGTGAATTGAAAGATCTAACCAAATCTGCTGTTGAAGAGCCTTCTCCGCTTTTGATAAGGTATAATCTCATCCAATCTGGTAAATGGAACTTAGTATGAGTGTTTCCCCAGTCTTTTCCAATATTTTCTGTTGAAATTAAACTTGATTCTGGTCTTCTGAAGATTTGTGGTCCCCAAATAGCACAGCTGAGGTCGAATCCTGATCCAATCTTCTTTTGTGCAATACTGTTTGCAACTGATGCAAGTTGAAACAGGAGATCTTGTTGTTCTGGAGTAATTTCTTCGGAAATTTGTTGTGATAATTTCATCAATGACATCATTATTGATATGATTGTAGCAGAGCTTGATCCAAGACCTGTTTTACCGCCTTGAGTGTAAAATTCTGGGTCGGCCACGATATTTAAGTCCAATTCCACTGGTTTTGATATGTTATAGTAGGTAAAGAAGGCATTAAGTACTGCAAGAATGAATTTTTCAAACTGCTTTTGTATATTTTCTGCTTTCCAATTTTCTTCATAAAATGTAAAATCATATTTGAACATATTTTCTTCAGAATTAGGCTTTTTGCCTATTGTTGAGACATGAACGATTGTTTTCTCTGTATTTGAAGATATTAACCTGGAGTAACAACGGATTTTTGGATCTAAATCAACAACTAATGCAAAATTCTTTGGATCAAGAACTACATATCCTCCAATGATCATGCACTTAGAAAATCCAATACCAAGTGCTTCTGTATTTGGCAAAAACTCAATTTTGTTCATTGACAAATAAAAAAAAAATCATTTCAAAAATATTTTTGACATTTGTAAAGTTCAACGATATAATAAGGTTAGATTTGTTACTAAAAAATCGGAATGCAACATCCAAAAAGAGTTTATTTCCGTTTTTCAAAGCCTGAGCCGCCAAATGAAGATATATTATGGAGATCATCACAGATAAAAGCGCGAAATGCTGGTAAATGGATGATATTTACAGATGCTAACGATGTTCAGTTGAATTCAAATATGACTAAATCGCCTAGGCATAAGAAATATTATAAATACAAAGGTTATCAAGTTCCACAAGAGTGTTTTGATCACTCAGATAGCCAACCACTCAATACAGAAGTTTCAATGAATTATAGCTACTTTATTCCTAGAAGAGAATTAGTTTCAACAGTACACGAAAGAGAACGCACACAAAGATACGACGATGAAGAACCTAAAAAAGATTTCCGAAAGGGTTTTGTTGGAAAGAATCCGTTAACTATGCCTTTTAGAACATCAACGAAGATCTTAAATGAAAAACGCTTTAAAGAACTCCGTAGAGCCCCCAGAAAGATTCAAACTGTTCGTTCACCACGATGTACTTATCTCCAATCACAAGATGAATGAGTACTCTCTATATTTATTATTTGTTTTGTTTGTTTTATATAAATTGCTCTTTATGCAAATCAATTTATGCTTACAATGTCATATTTATATCCAAAAATTTGATTTTCATGCTTACTTGATGAGTTTACTACTATAGATGTCGGCAAATACTTCTACCATTTCTTTATCATCATCAAAATCAATCTTATGTGGTGAGAAATGGAATAATTTGTCGATGTAATGTTAAATTTTTGACGTGTAAAGTTAAATTTTTGACATTTATGGAGGAAAATAATGATCATTCATCTGAAGTGGCAGCAAAGCAATTGAAGAATTTATTTGCAACATTTAACACCGAAAATGAAAAAGAAATTCATAATCTAATCAAGAATATCGAAGAGTTTATTTTAAAAAATACAAATACTTATTTTGAAGCTTTCATCGTGAATTATAGAAAATCCGAGTTTGACTCTTCTCTGCATGATTTTCAATTTCAAACATTTCTGCGAGCTCTCACTCTTTATTTAGAAAGGCCAAAATTAATTCAACCAATATGGGCTCAAGTCAACCAAACAATACTACAAGTTTTAAGACCAGAACTAGATTCAATTGATGTTACCGATAATCTTAATATATTTCAAGGTTTTTTAAATTATTTAATTCTTGATTCTCAATTTAATAGAACGAATAATGATACAAAAGAAATCTTTTTCAAGGTTTTCGAAGTATTCAATGACCAAAAAGCCGAAGCAGAAGAAAAAAATCCAATAATTTTCGAAAAATTAAATTTAGACTTTTACCATATACTTTCGAATATACTTGATAAAGCAGATATACCTCCAAAAGATCGTATAAAAATGTTTAAATGTTTGAATAATTCGCATTCAATCCTTGATCGCTTCAAATTTTCAACAATTTACTGTCAGAAGCTATTAAATGCATGTTACCTTGCTTCACAAATTGATAATGACGAACTTATACAAGAAATAGAGATATTTATGCAATATTATTGTGAAAATAACTATAAATGTGTTTTAAAGAACATTCAAATCATTTTCAAGATGACTATTGAACACATCGGACAAGCACAAAGAACTTTTCCATTTACTGTTTGGTCAGAAATTGCAGAATGCGAAAAAAATTCAGAAAAACCTCAAGGACTCATTTTAGGAATACTTAACCACTTTCTAACACCTGTTTATGACAGATTATTAACTATTAATATCTTTTCAAGTAAAGATAATGCGATTTTGAACTCAATTTGTAATTGTATTCAAGATTTCTCGAAAGTAGAGCCAAATGAAGTTTTCAAACGCGTCAAAGAGATATATGAGAGAGAAATAAAACATCCAGACCAAACGCATGTCCATGCAGCCCTTATGTTGGTGAAAATTTTGACTTCTGAAATTCCAAACACGATTTGTAGTGAATTTCTTTACCAAACAATGGCTTCTTTATGCAAAATGTCAACATCCAATGCATCTACAGGCAGCGAAATCACTCCTGTTCTTTGTATTGACTTCATATCAGATTGTATCTCAAACCATCCTGAATTGCTGATGGATATTGATGATTACAATGCTGTTTTGACTTGTTCTGAAGCTTACTGTGACTCAATAAGTCATTATTTGAGAAAAATGAGTTTTTATTTGGCTGAAAAACTCATTCAAACACAATATAGCTTAGGAACAATAGAGAAATACTTCAATATTGTTAAGAACTACTTTAATTTCATTGAAAAACAGCCAGATTTAGCCAAAAAAGATGAATTTGGAGGTTTTCTTAAAGTAATCTTGAATTCTTTAGGATACTCTTTAGGTAAGAAAGATATGGTTGAAGATGTTAAGGTTGGCAATGAAAAGAAAGAAAATTCTGAAAGTAATATTAAAGGGAAGTTAAAAAAAACTGATGCTAATAGGTATGATAGTAGTATAATTGATGAATATGTTGAATGGATTCTCAATCAGACCAAAAATTCTGAATCAAAGTATTTTAGTGAATGTTTCTCAGCTCTTTTGTATTGTGTAAGGAATGATGCTTTCACGGAACTCAATATGATGGAGAATGTCATAGATACTGCTCTAGAATACTTAGAAAATCCGAAATTTCAAAAAACTTCACTTCAAATCATTGATTTCCTCATTCAGAAACATCAACATATTATAGATTACTTAAAGTTATCGCCTGCTCTTTCCAATGAATTGGAAATTCAAGATAAATCTCCAAAAATAGAAGATATTCCAGAAGAAGACATAAAAGTGATAACAGAAGATCAAAGCCAAGTTTCAAAAAGTATAACTGAGGAAAATGAAAGACTAGAAAAGGAATTAGAAGAATTAAAATCAAAATATAATATTAATGTTGATGAATTTGAAACTTTAGAAGGTTTTCAGAGCCAGTTAAAAGAACATGTTGAAACTCGCAAGAAGGAAATAGAAAAGAACCTAATGTTACAGAAAAAACTTTCTTTGGCTAAAGTTATTGCGCACAAGGAAGTAACTCCAAAAGAAAAAGATATTTTTGATAAATGGAAGGCAATGAAAGAAAAGGAAAAGAGAGAAAAGAAAGATCCACCATCAAAATTAGAAAAATTAAACCAAATTTCAATTGATTTATTGAATTCTGAAGATCTGAAGTTATTGTCAGTATTATATCCATTATTACTAACATTAGTTACCAATGAGTTACTTAAAACTGAAGAAATTTCAAAAATTTATCCAAAATTAAATGAATCCAAGCAAAATAAGTTAATTGAAACTGTCCTTCCTGATATCTTATTGTTACAAGCCATGATTTCTCATGTTAATAATGATTTCAACAGTTTCCAAAACCATTTTAATGAATTATTAGAAATTTTTGATGATATTGATGAAGATAAGAAACCCATTGTAATAACTCGTGGAATATTTGTTGCATTCGCTAATTTCTCGTTTTCTTATCGAATAATACAGAAAATTCTGAAGAAAGCAGATTCCGACCACTTTTATCTTCCGATAATTATAGAGTATGTATGTTACTACGTTGTACAGGTCTTAGCCAAATTGCCACAGAAAAGTCACGCAATAACCAATAAAATCTACATTCAGAACTTCTTGAAGCAAGGACTTAATTATCCAACGCTCAAAAATGAATGTGAGAGATTAATTGATGAAAATAGAAAAATATTATTTTAATTTTTTTGATAGATATAAAGATAGAGACTATTTGATATAAACCGTTTTTCATTGTTTTATGTATTCTTCAACCTAATTGCTAATTGAGTAATAAGACTTCATTTTATAATAGATTTCACAATTTGAGAAATAAATATATTAAAATCATCAACGCATCTACTTCAAACAACATATACTTTATGAAGTGTTCACTGTCAATTGTTTAATTAGAGTAAATCAATGAAGAGAAAAAGAAAATAAATTTTTTTTTTCTCTATTCGGTTTTGTGTGAATAAAACATGCTTGAAACGAGATGTATTTTCATTCTGAGATGATATATCATGCATGTAAGATCAGATAAATTTTGAGAAAAAGGTGACCAAACTATTTTTTGAAAGTCCGCCATAACTTTAATGGTACTATTTCAGCGTGTACAATGAATACAAAAATTCTAAGAGTGCCACATAAAATAGTACTTTATACTTGAGTTAATGCTACCAAGCAAATGTTAAAAAGATGACTTTAGTGTTTTGATAATCAAAGATTAAAATCATTATTGTCTAAATCAATAATCATAACGACAGAAGTTAATGTTTTTTCATAAGTGCTTTAAATCCACTTTTAAAAGTATACCTCAAAAATCAAAATATCAAAAAAAATTGGCCGATAGGTTTGGCTTTAATTTTTGTCTGCTTTTATGATTTGATATGGATGTTATAATTTTAAAAGTTGAGCCAAATTCACCAATAGATTTTTGAGATTTGCAAATACTCAATAATTTTCAGAGTGTTATCTTTTATTAAAAGAACTATTTGGTTTCAGTATCATATAAATTGATATTTACTTTCTATTTGAACCTTCATTTAGCTAATGATTTAATAATACAGATTTCATCTAATCCTTATAAGAGAATTTTGAATTTGTTATAATAAAAAAACAAACAGATATAGCTTACACTTCTATAATAAAGATACCTTTTATAGAAATCAGTATGAAATGTGTTTTTTGACACGTAAAGCTCTCAATTCATTATAACATTTTTGTCGATTTTTATATATTTTTCTCTTTCATTATCTATGATATTAAAAATTATGCCATCATCAAAAAAAAAAAAAAAAAAAAAAAGGTAGTGGGGCTTCCAGGCACTTCGTGCCCTCTAGCCCTGAAGATGTTTAGTATAAATGAAGTTTTTATTCGGAAAATTGTTAGTCTTCTGGTGTGAATTCGGAGGACTCTTCTTCTTCCTCCATTGCTTCTGGGAAGAAGCCTTCTTCTGGGTCGAAAACATTATATAATGTGTCGCTTTTCACAAATTATATATGTTTTCATGTTTTGTCACTTTTCTGTCACTTTTCAGGAAAAACATTTTTATTATTATATATAAATGAATTTTACAAAAACCACCGTTACCGTTCTTTGGAAATAAGAGTAAATGTAAAGATATTATATTGAGAGAACTTAAGAAACTACCGAATGGTCTAACATTTGTAGATTTGTTCGGTGGAAGTTTCTATATATCCCATTTGTGCCATATAATATTCCCAGACTCAAAGATTATATGCAATGACTTCGACAACTATATGGACCGTCTCAAACATATTCCAGACACAAACAATATATTGAAAGAGTTAAAAGAAAAGATACCTATAGGTAAGATGGAACGTATACCATTAGATAAGAAAAATATTGTGAGAGAGGTTTTGAAAAAAGCAGAATATATAGACTGGAATAGTATATCTGCTAGACTATTATATAGTGGTGCTATAAGAGTTCATGACATTGAAACACTTATGTCAAAAGTTTTATATCTTAACTATACAAATGTTTTCAAGAGGACATAGAAAAATATATTGAGGGTATAGAGTTTGTGAGATGTTATTGGACAGAGTTGTATGAAAAATATAAAGACAAGGAAAATGTTTTCTTTATAGTGGACCCGCCGTTCTATAACACATGGGATTTTCAATACCAAGTAGACTGGACTTTGAGAGACTCTTTAGAAACTTTAGACGTTTTACATAACCATCCATGCTTTTACTTTACATCCGATAAAAGTGGTTTGGAAACCGTTATGAGATGGTTAGAGGACATACATGACTATGAGTTTATATATGACAAGATAGAATATGAGAGAGGTCCTATAAACTGGAGAAAGTGTCACAATAAAGAAATTTTATTAGTAAGTAAATGTGGTTTGAAATAGGACTACTTGTTTTAGGTTTTTTCCATTGTGTCATTTATTTCTTTGACGTGGCAGAAAAGTACAGAGAATATGAAGATGAACCAATGCCTGCAAATGTTCAGTATATGTACTCGTAAGAGATATTTTTATCTAATATTAAATGGACGCACAGAACTTAGCGAATGCACAGCAACCTGGACAACCAAACCCAGAGAATATTCCAAATGAAGTTAGAATACAAACTGCAATGGCAAACTATGGTCAAGTGCCAACAGATGTACAAATGCAAACTGCCATGTCAAATGACGCTGCGTTAGGTTTGCCACCATGGTATGCAAATATGAGATGGAAAGAGTTTTATACAAACCCTGAAGTCGGATATAAACAACTTTATGCAGATGACGCGAACACAGGAGTTGACCCAGAATATGTTTTCTACCAGAGGAGAAACAGAATGTATGAGCTCCAGTTAAAGAATGCTATGGAACTCAACAGGAAACGTAAGAGACTAGGCGGACATTAGATTTTTACATATAGTAAAATGGGTTTCTTCAGTAGTATTGGAAACTTCTTTCGAAATGTTGGAAAGGTATATGGAATGGAATAAAAACCGTAGGAAGAGGAATTTGGAACGGTGTCAAAAATATTGGTAAAAGAGTAGGTCAGTTCGTTGGTATTATACCTAAAGACCCTGAACCAGAAGAGCAAGCTCCTGTTATACAACAGCCTGAACCTGCACCACAGTCTAGTTGGCAACCAAATCCAAACACCTCAACCGTATTAAAAAATTATATTTTTACCGTTCGATAGTAGTTGTATATGAAACTAAGTTCTAAGTAAAACGCATGGTATAATGGAATTATTCTTTTTCTTCCATCTGTAGTAAACCATACTTGAAAGTCTGAAATACTTCCACTTGGGGTTCGTATAACTTTGTAGGTTTTTCGTAAAAGTCATTTGCCAAGCATAAGAAAGAGTTTTGGGCGCCAGAAAATGAAGCATGAACAATAATAGCAGCTGGGTCGAAAACATCTTTAAATAAATATGGTTCATCTCTTGCATATCGACTGTAAATATTTGCTAAAGGAAGTTCGACTTTCTGATTTAACATTCTTTGCAAATAATACCATGACATTGCAGTGAATTCTGTATATTTGTTCGTCTTTATTTGGATTGTTTTCGTAGATTTGAAATGACACTTGTGAATTTTGTTTGTCATATACAATTCTCACATAAAGTGTGCTCTCGGTATTTGCATATTCATCAGCATATTTTGCATAACATGAATTTATTTTATCTTCTATATTTTTTAACGCAGTCTGTAGAGAAGATGAAAGGTCAACTTGTATTAGCTCAATTTCTTCCCACATTTTTCGTTTCCCTTCAGATATATAATCTATATGAAACCTTACAATAAATGGAAAACTTTTATCTTCTACAGACACAAACTTCATTCTACGAAAGCCAATAGCTTTTGTGACAGATGGGTCTCTTAACCATCTTAATGGGTAGTCAAAACGATAGCCTTCATGCTTTACGGTCTCTGTCTCAAACTTTTGACCGACATTAGTAAAAAGTTCATCTAATGGTTTAGTTGTAGCAACTCTTGAATTTTCTTTTTCTATTGGAAGCATATTTTATCTACAATAAAAATGTCAAATGAAACAGCGTCTATGAGAGAAATACAACACAACCGACAACTCATTGTGCAAGCTCTAAATAAGAACACAACAAACTTTTCAAACTATTCTAAGATATCTGAGTCATTGAAAGAAGGAAACTTAAAACTGACATTAAACCCAATGACAGATGAGTTTCTATTTCAAGACAATAAGAACCATACTGTCTGTATAAATCCAACAAAAGGAACTTTAAACGAGAAACCTATAAATGAACTTCTTTTGAAAGCAGATGTTGACAACAAAGCTGACAAAGAATATGTAGACGATGCAATAGCAAAAGAAGAAGAAAGAGCTAACAATGCTTATGCAACAAAAGAACATACTCATCCTGAACTAGCAGACAAAACATATGTTGACAATAAAATGTCAAGTGAAGTGACAAAGCTGAAAACGAATATTCTAAAAAGACTCATATACATTCTATATCTGAAATAACAGACTTACAAGAAACCTTAAACAATAAAAGTGCCGTTGGACATACACATACCATTGCAAATATTACAAACTTACAAGAAACCTTAAACAGGAAAAGTGACGTTGGACATACACATACCATTGCAAATATTACAAACTTACAAGAAACCTTAAACAGGAAAAGTGACGTTGGACATACACATACATCTTCTGAAATAACAGACTTAAACGTTAGCCTTGAAAAGAAAGCAGATAAAACATATGTCAATGAAATATACCAAAGTTTGATAGGAACAACGAAAAATATTGAAACTATTGTTGGTGACTTTTCTGTCAATGAAGAAAACAAATATTTTAGATGGGAGTTTGTACACTCCTTAAAAAATGGTATACGGTATAAACTCATTCCGAAAAATAACAATGAAATGTATGTAGGCTATATAAAGAATAATGGTACACAAGTTAAAGTTCCATTAGACAACAACTGCTACTTAAACTTTATGGAGACGAACAAAAGAAATATTTAAGAGTTTATGAAATGACAGATATGACATTGCCTGACCCAGCTCCAGCACCATATTATTATGACTATGGAGATGACGTCAGAACACCACATGTAGATGAACAAAAGCTAACATTATATTTAGATTTTTATAGATATAAAAGATATAATGCAATAGAAAAACGAGAATATATACTATTATGAAGATGACAGAATAAATATTATAGTCAAGACTTTACCT